TTATAAGAAGCCGAATTGATGATAAAGCAAAATTTTGACATGAATTGCTTTCGGATAAGAAGTATAACGTCTATCTGTAAAAATAATTTGAAAGAAAAAAACAGATAAATTTTTATTTTATGGCCATTTCCGGTTTTCTATTACTGAGTTTTGGTATTAGACTTATTTTTAATAAAATAAATTTTGTATAATATTAAAGGGCAGTAATAAAATTTAAGATATGTTATAGTTTAATTACTTTTTGAGATATTTTTAATTAAATATAGTGTATTTTGGAATTTTCGCGTTTCTAAAGATGGCCATATCTCATGAAGTAAGCCTATTTGAAAAATAAAATTTTACATTTTTATTAGTTCATATAATACCAAATACAAATTTTTTTAAAAATTGAAGGGGTGGTTGAGAATCGACTTTTTTGGTTGATTTAATATAGTGTTGTAAACGAACGCGTTCAAAATGAACGCGTTCGTGAACGAAGTTCGTTTTTTTGAAAAAAGGTGATGAACGGCGTTCCTTTTTTTTTGACAAACTTTGAACGTGACCGCGTTCCTTTTCTTTGATGAACGCGTTCAATTTTACGTTCGTTCAATTTTAAAAACACTTTTTATTTTTATTTATTTGAAAAATTAATATTAAACCGCATTTTTTAACAAAAAAGTCTTATATTTTTATTTATTTGAAAAATTAATATTTAATCCAATTTTTTAACAAAAAAGTCTTATATTTTTTAATCAGCTGTTTTTACTTTTTCCTCTTTCATATTGCAATTAACGTACCATAACGTGCTACTGCTAGAGAAGATAAGATTAAAGTTTATTAATTGCATGGATATAAATATTTCATCATCAGATTCTGAAAATCAAAATTCAATTATAGATGAATTAGAATTACCATGGCCTAAATATCAAAAATATTTCACTGTTTTAAAATCAAAAGGTAATTCAATAGTTTTTAGTATAGCTAACGCTGTATTAACTGCTAAGCGTTCATGCCTATCAGATGAAAATTTTGAAAAGCAATTATTATTAAAAATTAATAAGAAATTTTTTTTATAAATTTATTTTTTTATCGCTCTATTATATTGTATTTATAATTATATTATCAAAATAAAACTATTATTTTTTACCATGGCTAATATATTGGGTTGAAAAATATAAGGCATTTATTTATATTAAATTAAATTTTAAAAAAATTTATCATAAAATTTTAAAAAAATTTATCATAAAATTTTGAACGCATGAACGCGTTCACGAACTTGAACGCGTTCCTTTTTTTGAATTTGAACGTGAACGTGAACGCGTTCGAATTTTGTCAATGAACGTTGAACGCGAACGCGTTCGATTTTTTTAAAATGTTTACAGCACTAATTTAATATGGAATACAACGTAAATAAAATATCATAAAATTAAGAAATAACAGATACATTTAATTTTTACAATCACATTAAATATTAATAAAGCAAGGATTTATTGATGATATATGTTTTTAGTTTAATTACTTTTTGAGATATTTTTAATTAAATATAGTGTATTTTGGAATTTCCGCGTTTCTAAAGATGGCCATATCTCATGAAGTAAGCCTATTTTAAAAATAAAATTTTACATTTTTATTAGTTCATATAATACCAACATACAAATTTTTTTTTAAATCGAAGGGGTCGGGTTTAGAATCGACTTTTTTTGGTTGATTTAATATGGAATAAAACATAAATAAAATATCATAAAATTAAGAAATAACATGATTCAAGATACATTTAATTATTATAATCACATTAAAGCAAGGACATGAATCACAAGATATCCTAATGAAAATTTTTTATACACTATAACCAAAACACCCATCAATTTCTCTTTAAATTATTTTTTTTTTCAAAGAGGTAAATTTTTCTTGAAGAAAATCTAAATATATAATAAAATGTTGATATATTGACGTAGTTGATATAATAAACTCCATGAATCGACAAAAGTACATAACATTTTGATTATTAGGTAAATTTTTTTGATTTATTTGTAAAATCTAAATGTTATAACAACATTTTTTAAGATATTTTGATATGGTTGATTTATTTCATGAATCAACAAAAGCACTACATTTTAATTATTATAATTACTTAAAAAATTAAAAAAGAAAGGAAGTCATTTTTTCCCCCTGGAGGTAGACACGAGAGGGCTTTTCGTAAAACTTTTAGAATACACTAATTAACTTTTCCTTAAATTTAAACGGCCCGTGCAAAAATTTAACTGGTCAGACCGGGTAACTTATTGGATCTGATTTGAGTATTCTTTTTTGTCTTAAATGACAATAATATACTTTATCTTTATAAAATGAAGTACACATGAAGAAAATCTTTCTATTGCAAATACTAATAGAATTGTTCATTTTGAGAAATTAATTTTATTCGGATGTAATATCACTGGCACATGTTATTATTCTCTATCAATTAATTTTTCAAACATCTCAAATCTCATTGTATCTCTCTCCCTGAAAACTGTTTGTTGAGTATTTTTAGAACATTATATCACTAATAGGGATCTGCAAAAGTGCCCATACTCGGCCCACCAGAATCATTTTAAAAATTTTTATACCAGGTCCGGTTTAAATTTTGAAATAAGATTAATATATTTTAATATTTTGCAAGCAAATCGGGCCCAATATTAATATTTGTTTGTAGAAATGATCAAAGACTTGATTATGTTTAGTGAAAAGATGGAAACCTATATTTGAAAATATTAATTACTATATTTGTTGTAATATGTAAATTTACTTTGAAATAAAATCGAGAAAAAAAAAGTAATATTCCAATCGACTGTTTAAACAGAAAAAAAGAAAAGAATTATTATATTGAGTAAAGACGATGTAAATGAATAGGATAGAAAAGTATATATAATCGAGGATATTTTACTTGTTAATAATTATTATGAATTTGCGAACATAATTTTTAATCTTTTAATTTTAATTTTTTTTAAATATTATTTTAATATTTATTTTAGTTATGTTTATGTAACTACTATTTATATTAATTAATAGAGTATTAGTAGTTAATTTATTTATACTATTTATTTTATTCTCTAAATTGTCTCAACCACTACATTTGTTGGCCGAAACATTATGTTCTATGGACATATTCTGTCTAATTAACTCACTATTTGACAATATTTAAACAAATTCGGGCAGGGCGGACAACTAATTTTATTTTAATTTGGATCGATCTTTTCTGGGCAAATAATAAAACCAGGATTGGACCTGGGAGGATAAAATTTTAAAAATTTTGGGCCGAGTTAGGCTTGAAAAATAAGCCCTAGTTTAGATCATCAATATTTCCGAAATTTTCGTCATAGGAATTCTATGTTTATTAAAATTGAGGATTGAGTTTTTAAATTAAAAGGAGTTAATAACCATGCATTATAATCAAAATACAACTTCATAAACCCAAGACAATAGCAGATTATAATATTATACATTCTCAAAACATAAGTTGCTATAAATTTGATTGCGATGTTAGAGTTTGATTTTGATTAGGATATTATTTTTTTAAAATTTAAATAGGAATTATAAAAAAATTTGATAGAATATAGAGCACATTTTTGGTCAAGATGCTTTTCATATGCTATTATTTTTAAATTATCGCTTTGTATTGGTATTATTATAACTATTTGATCCAATATTTTTGTTTTAGGTTTCTTCTTTCGATATTCACATTGAATTTTAACCTTCCCAACTTCCCTTAACCATTAATTCTATTTAATCAGGCATGGGTTTTTACATAACCTTTTTACTTCCCATGGGCTTTTAAATAAGTGACTTTGCCTCGTGCGCTCACTTATAACTACAGCCTGCTTATAAATTTGTAGATGGTCTTCTCTCTTAGGTTACTCCCAATTTCTTAACCCATTTAGATGATAATTGCAAGAGTCCAAGGGTAGCTTCTGCTATTCAATATAGCCAACAAGTCAATGTACTTACTATCACATATCGCGTAAAATTTAAATATTTTTTAACAATTATTGATTTGATACGATATAATTTATTTATTTTACCTTTAATATTATAGTCTCTGTTAGCAAGCCTATTAAAATATTTATAAATAAAAAAATTATCACATTACTCTCTTTATGAAATTTTATGCTGAAATTTAATAGTTGTGAAAATATGTGTTGATATTATTTTTTAGTATACTTTCTTTCTTTTCTATACATCCATCCATCCATCTAACTATATTTTTTTCTTTCTTTCTTTTTTCATTCTTTCATTCTTTCTTTATCATTATAGAAAGCGATCCTGTTCGTAACAATTTTATTTAATCCAACAAGAAATGATTTAACTCTTTTAATATAATTATATTCAAAAAATTTAAAATTAGAAAATATAATATTATAAAATTTAATTAACAAAAAGTGGCCGTTTATTGTTACTTTATATAATATAAAAGAACATCGCAACCTATTAAATTTTGAGTCAATTTTGAAATTAGACAGTTTATTATTTATTACAATTTAAAAAGGTTATAAGTCCCAATAACTAACTATATAATATATAATATAATGTTAGAACTACTATAAATGATTGATCTATATATTTTTTTAAAAATATCCCATTTTAACCCTGAAAAATTAGACAGTCTATTATGGATTACAATTTATATATCTAATATTAGAACTACTATAAATGATTGATTTATGCATTAATTTATAAAAATATCCCCTTTTAACCTTAAAAATTAGACAGTTTATTAATGAATACATTATATATTTGAAAAAAAGGATTTTTAAAAGTCTCGATAACTAACTACATAATATATGATATAATATTAGAACTACTATAAATGATTATACATTAAATATTGAAAATATCCCTTTAACCTTTAAAAATTAAATATTATTGATTGCAATTTGTAAATCTGAAAAAATATAATTTATTAGAACTAAAAATGATCGATTTATACATTAATTTTTAATATCCTATTATAGCCTATCATACAGTATTCAAATTACCTAGCTGTAAATTAATATATATTATAAAAATTTTTTGAATTTAAAATCATTTTTTTCTTATAATGATTAATGGCATATTTAATATCACCCGCATTGATTACAGGATTTGGCACAAAATGACCCAAGATCACGTTCTAAACATAATTTCCTAGATACAACCTGGTTGCAATACGAATAATCTGCCTTATCCCAGCATGTAACAATATCAGGAGTTTTTTGGTCGTTGTTAAAGTCAGATTTAGACGTGCACCTTCCTTTATTGCATGCCTTAATATATTATAAAATAGAATGTAAAAAATATATTTTATAAAAATTTAAGAATAAGGTGACAAAATTACTAAAATATCTCAAAAATAAAAACAATGTCAAAGAAATTTTTACAAATTCGGAAATATAAAATTAAATATCATCAAGGGAATTTAATATTTAAATTTAAAAAAAATAATCCTCTTTAATAAATATTGACTAAATATTAAATTTACATTATTTTTAAAATATTTTGCCAAATTAATTAGAAGTATTTTAAATATTAATATAATTCTATGGTAAACCATGGCACAGAGGAATAAGGCACATGAATCCAATCTGCTTTTAATTGAAATATTTGAAATAATTATGATACACACCTCTCGAAAATTAATATTTACCTTGTGTTAACTCATTAAAATTTTAGACTAAAAAATATGTTTTCATCGCAAATATTTAAAAAATTAAATTCGATGATTTTCAGCTGGAACTTTACTAATGAGTGAGTACCATATATAATATATTAAATGAAAGCTTAAGCCCTCCTCTTTCTGAGAATTTTTTTTAAAAAAAATTACCAATTATTACTTGTATATTATCTCTTATCACGATTTAGGACTTTGGATGTTTTAAACTGGGGTACATCATTTTTGTCAATAAAATATAGCCTTTTATGCAAAATTTTATTATTAATTATAAAATTTTAGATAATTAGTATTCCCTTAATCTTTAATAACAAAAGGATACTTTATTATTATAAATTTTTATATGACCCTGTGTAAGTTTCTATGCCCCCCCCTATTGGTTTATCTAATTTTCTCTCGATTTTTTTACTTGAAAAATTAAACATTCGATTATCACTTATCCAGCTATCTTTTGTGGTAGATGGCAATATATTATGTTAATATTTACAAATTTTATAAGAGTTTTAATTTCCTGTGTTGTCGGTCTTCACTTATACATAATATATTAAACTGACAAAAATATATTTTTTATTTATTAATAAAAAGTAAATAAACCGAATTCGTTTCCGTATTTGATAATGTATTATCATCATTGCATGGTAATCCATTTATAAATTGGGGAATTTCATAAGAGTAACCTTGACCTAGGCATGTTATGGTGGCGCAAGTACTCTTATTAAAATATATATTTAGATGTTTTAAATATTTGACTTTTATAAATTTATTACAAATTCAATTGCAAGCCATTCATAAAAATCGGAGACCTAGAGGTCAGGCCTGAAAATCTTAGACAGACTCAAAATGGACAAATAGTATGATTTAATTTGAAATTATTTATAAAATATATCGCAATTATTTAAAATGATCAAAATTTTCAAAATTCAGGGTTAGGTGGGCAGGGATTCGAAACAAAACGATTTTCTAGAAATATCGGATGATGGCTGCACATTTTTTAAAAATTTAACACTATACCCTAAAAAATAATATTGCATATTTTCAAGATTCTCTTTCGTCAAATTATATTTCTAAGGGGAACATAAGATTTATGATTGAGAATACATCTACGTATAAACTTGGATAGCTAGCTCAAAAATCATAACATGCAAAAATTTTCTAAAAATCGTTAATGAAGCTTGACAATCGTGATCTTAATAATCGTCAAAGAGCCAGGGTATTAAAATCTATAATCTGGTTTTTCGATACGAATTCTGTACAGAATTTTATATGGTTATATTGATTTGAGTTATAATAAAACCATCTTAAAGGTAGAATCAGTTTGAATCCCCTACACATCAGACACCTACATGGACCGACTGGCCCACGGAATTTGCCGGGTATGGCCATGGCCTAATATAATATTTCTAGTCGGTCTGGGCCGAGGCCTAGGATTTTAAATTTTTTTTAATGGGCTAGACATTAAAAATTCAATTTAAAGTTAGTTTATTTAAAATTATTACCATTTTTTTCTAATAATAATAAATTTCATTATTGTAAAAAAATGATTACTTAAATATTCTTTATTTTTTTTTAAATACAAATTGAAGTTTTAAATATGGGTTCGGGCTTGGGAAAATATTTTGAAATTTATTGTAAGCTTGGGTAGGGTTTGGTCATAAATCAAGGTTCGTGATGGTCCTTGCTACACATGGTATACAAAACATTTATAAAATTATTAAAATTTTTTGCTTTTGTAGGGCCATTAAAGACAGAAAAAGTACAATCTAAACTAATTCCATTAGAATATAAATAATAATCTTAATTATAAATATAAAATGATAGAATGGAAAATAAATTTTAACTATTTTATTATAATTTCATTTATTTTAAATCCACCTTTTGAATTTCATATCTAATGTTAGCACCAAAAGTGGAACACATTTTTTGAAAATCTATATTATGCAAGGGGATTGCGGTTGCCTTATATCGTTCGCCATTCTCTAGACAACTTACATTACCTTTTCTATCAATTTATAATAAGTTAAATTTAAATATAGATTAGCAGTTACAAGTGATTTGTTGTGTGTTAGATTTGTCAAAGTTTTCATAACTATTTGAGTATTAATAAACTAGTAATTATTTCATTTATTTAATTACGCCTTTTTTTTATTACGAAAAATATGTGTCGATTTCTCTAGCACTACAGGTAGACCATATTTGATTTCTTGGTAATTTCGTCTCATAATGCATTATACCAGCAACAGATAATGAGTTGCACGCATTATCCATATCATGTTTACATCCTAATCTTTATTTAATTATTACATAAAATATAATTTAATCATTATTAATAGTATGCTAAAACTATCCGGTAGTTTATATATCAAAAAATAAATGGCATGCTAGTTCAGAGGTATAAATGTGGTGGGGCATACTAGAATTTAGTGTGTTGCACCAGGATACATTGGAATTCCATTTTACATTAGGTTATCATAGATTTTCATTAACTAAAATTAAAATAAATCTCTATTTTATATTTCTGAAAAGAATATTTAAATTTTTGCCACCACCTTCATAAATAACTATAAAAAAAGAAAGGAAAAGGGAAGGGAAGGTAAGGTAAGGGAAGGGAAGGAAGGAAGGGAAGGAAGGAAGGAAGGAAGGGAAGGAAGGAAGGGAAGGGAAGGAAGGAAGGGAAGGGAAGGAAGGGAAGGAAGGGAAGGAAGGGAAGGGAAGGGAAGGGAAGGAAGGGAAGGGAAGGGAAGGAAGGAAGGGAAGGAAGGGAAGGGAAGGAAGGGAAGGGAAGGAAGGGAAGGGAAGGGAAGGGAAGGGAAGGGAAGGGAAGGGAAGGGTAGAAATGTAATAAAAATTTTAGAAAAGATCTAAGGTATATAGATGGTAAAATGCAAGATTGGCAGTATGATGTTGGGTAGATAGCCTAGAAGAAAGGGGACTTATAAAAATTGGAGATATTCTATATTTTTGGTTGTTGTTTATTCGTGTTTTATTAATAAGTGGCCCTATTATTGTATTAATTTTTATGGTAGCGATAGCGATAATCTTTGATGAATAATGAGTTTTGCTATTGTTGATTATCAATTTTTATTTAATTAAAAATTTTTTAACAGAATTGGAATTATTAAATAATAATTCTTACAGATGGCCTAGCTCGTGCGCTATAGTTATACCTGTATCTGTTGAAGTTGGTGAAATTAAACTACAACTTACTTCAACCTTACATATAGCTTCCAAATTAGCATAACCTAAAATGTTTATTTTCAAAATATAATTTTAAATATAAATTAGAAAATGTATAAAATTTATAAAACTTATATTTTATAGTATTAAAAATTTACCGAGGACACGATATTGACCTGCCCAGCTCCTACAAATATAAAAAAAATATACCTTCTTAGTTATATAATATATATTTTTATAAATAATATTTACAAATCGCTTTAGTTAAAATTATTTTCCTTCTCTATAATATTGTACCCCATATCATTTGCAGGCTTTAAATACAATTACATATCTGGAAAAACGGTGCCCTCTATCTACTTTAAACTATTGAAGTTCTTATGCGGTTGTTTATTTTTTGCCTTATTCATTAACATATTAAAATATTAAAAATATATGTAATAGCTGATAGTGTTGTTAAAGACATTTAGTAGCGTGATCTCGGGACTTAGGAAATATTTCTCTAACTAAAATATTTGGTTTCCACTATTATAAATTTCGAATGATGTTTTAGGAAATTCGATTTATTTTAAGTCAGATTAAAGTTGAGTGGAAACAAGCCAAACTATATATTGGTTTGATTAGTAATCTGGATCTTTTGAAAAGCCTAATTTATCGAAATGATATGGTCATTATCTATCTAAATAATAGTTGTAATAGAAAAGAGAAATAAATTTAATTTAATGATAATTTATATAAATAGATTAAATTAACCTTGTAAATTTAATAATGGAGTTGTTAATATGATTAGTTATTTAGTTATATGTAAAATTACATATATACGCAATTGAAATAGTGTTGTTAAAAAGCCGAGTTTTATCGTAGCCAAAAAATTTGCTCAGGCTCAAGCCGGCTCAGGAGTTGGCTCAAGCCGGCTCAGGAGTTGGTTCAAGCCGGCTCAGGAGTTGGCTCAAGCCGGCTCAGGAGTTGTCTCAAGCCGTTAGCTCAAGCCGTATATAAGTAAAAATGGAAAAAATTTAACCAAGAATTTTAAAAATATAATAATTTTTTGTAAATATTAAATCGCAATGAGAAATATACACAACATAATTAAAAATATATATATATTATAAAAAAATGAATTGGAAAAGAAAAAAATTTAATGCATAAAAAAGAACAAAGAGAAAGTATTTTAAAAAAAGAGGGTACATATCATCCGAGAGAAGCTTGAATATTTATAAAATTGGACCTGCAGATTTCCAGGAAATCTGCTGATGAAGGTAAAATCCTTCATTGGGGTCACCTGATATCTGTCTCATTTTTTTCTCTATGATTTTAATTACAAAAATATTTATTTATTTAAATTTCTTCCCAACCCCCTCCCCTCCTATATTACTAAGGGTTGACTATAAATATAATTTATTATATTTGTTTATGATTTTAAGGAGAAAATTAATTATTTATATCAAACATGTCAGCCTCCTATTTTTATTAACTTGAGATAAACTAATGATGTATGGATTGCCCTTGCCAGTTTATAACACTGCTTTTTTATTATATTTATAATATATAAACTTTACCTGAATAAATTACATAAAAAGTATTTAAGTAAAATAGATGAAGTGGCATTAAAGAAAAAAAATCTTAGATATTTTTTGTTTTTAATATTTTCTTAAAATATATATTATTTAAAAAACTAAAATCTGAATATACAAAGCACGGACTATATGTATATTTAAATATTTTTTAAGAAATACTGGCCAACAAATGGCTCTGCAGCTATCGGATATAATAATTAATATTAAAATAAACCACATTTAAAAATTTATAAACAATATTAAATAATAAAAACCACCTTAATGTTTAATAAATATTTACGTCAAATTCTATGAAAAAATAAAAAAATAAAATGTTGAGTCTAAAAGAAAAAAATTTTTTATATTTTAATTTCTATTCTATACCTAAAAAATAAATATGTACAAAAAATATTAAAAAAACAGGATGTATGTAACTTTGACTTTTTTATTATGGAATAATAAAGCAATAAAGCTCCGTGAAGTTGGCCGAACGATTGGAAGCACTAACGATGAATTATATATCATTTTTTAGTGCTTCGTTAGTGCTTGTTAGTGCTTCAATCCGTTTAGTAGCCGAATTTAAGGAAAAAAAGTTATAAGCAAAAATAAAAATTTGTGCCAACTTCACGCTTAAAAGTCGATTGGAAGCACTAACGATGAAATATATTAAGTAGAGGTTAGTGCTTTAATCCGGATAGTAGCCGAATTTAAGGGAAAAAAGTTATTCGCGAAAAAAACAAAAATAAACAAATATTGGCGACTTGCCAAAACAAAAACTATAATAGTACAAAACATCCGGTTTTCGCCATTATTTAGTGCTTAATTAGTAAATTTTAATTCCGTAATTTTTATCGTTAACCGCCTTATAAAAAAAAAGATATTAAGTATATAAAAATTATGACGTCACGATTTAAGCGTGAAGTTGGCCGAACTTTTGGAAGCACTAACGATGAAATGTATATCATTCTTTAGTGCTTCGTTTGTAGAGGTTAGTGCTTCAATCCGGATAGTAGCCGAATCTAAGGAAAAAAAGTTATTCGCGAAAAAAACAAAAATAAACAAATATTGGCGACTTGCCAAAACAAAAACTATAATAGTACAAAACATCCGGTTTTCGCCATTATTTAGTGCTTAATTAGTAAATTTTAATTCCGTAATTTTTATCGTTAACCGCCTTATAAAAAAAAGATATTAGGTATATAAAATTATGACGTCACGATTTAAGCGTGAAGTTGGCCGAACTCGATAATATAAATAGATTGTAGAATAAGAGTGTTATATTTTTATTCGAATATTATAACTACAATATTGATGTAAGAATAAAGAAGGAAAAAATTATAAAAAATGTATGATATAATTTTTAACGAATAAAGCAGCAATTAGCGAAAATAAGCATATAATCAATAAAGCATTCTATATAACAAATATAAACAAATACGAATATAATAGGAATATAATTTAAAAAATCTTTATGGAATAGCTATAAATAATATTTAATTTTTTAATACATATAATGCAATATAATTTTATTTGAATTGTATAGGATAATTTTCAATTCACAATTTCTGTTGTCACAAATGCCATAATTTATTTAGGGGTCGTGTAAAATCATTTGATTTGATAAGCTCCTCCCAAGATAAAAACATTCTTCAATCCTAAAATCATATATATTATTCATTTGATATTTTAAGTGAATTGAAAATTATCCTATACAATTCAAATAAAATTATATTGCATTATATGTATTAAAAAATTAAATATTATTTATAACTATGGCATAAAGGTTTTTTCTTTTGCGTTTTACAATTTTTTCATATGACGGTTAACAAAATTAATAACGGAATTTAAATACATTAATTAAGCACTAAATAATGGCGAAAACCGGATGTATAGTACTCCTATAGTTTTTGTTTTGGCACGTCGCCATTATTTGTTTATTTTTGTTTTTTTCGTGAATAACTTTTTATTCTTAAATTCAGCTACGGAACTGATTAAAGCACTAACCACTACTAACGAAGCACTAAAGAATGATATAAGTTTCATCGTTAGTGCTTCCAAAAGTTCGGCCAACTTCACGCCTAAATCGTGACGTCATAATTTTTATTTAGCTTATAACGTTTTTTTATAAAGCGGTTAAGTAAATTAATAACGAAATTTAAATACACAAATTAAGCACTAAACAATGGCGAAAACCTGATGTTTAGTACGCCTATAGTTTTTGTTTTGGCACGTCGCAATTATTTGTTTATTTTTGTTTTTTTCGTGAATAACTTTCTATTCTTAATTCGGCTACAAAATGGATTGAAGCACTAACCTCTACTAACGAAGCACTAAAGAATGATATAAGTTTCATCGTTAGTGCTTCCAAAAGTTCGGCCAACTTCATGCCTAAATCGTGACGTCATAGTTTTTATTTTGCTAATAACTTTTTATTCTCAAATTCGACTACAAAATTGATTAAAGCACTAACCTCTACTAACGAAGCACTAAAAAATGATATAAGTTTCATCGTTAGTGCTTTCATAATTTTCTAGCCAAAATTTGACCTCTAAAAATTTCTTTAGCGTTTTACAATTATTTCATATGACGGTTAACAAATTTAATTAACGAAATTTGAATACACTAATTAAGCACTAAATAATGGCGAAAACCGGATGTTTTGTACTATTATAGTTTTTGTTTTGGCAAGTCGCCAATATTTGTTTATTTTTGTTTTTTTCGCGAATAACATTTTTCCCTTAAATTCGGCTACTATCCGGATTAAAGCACTAACCTCTACTTACGAAGCACTAAAGAATGATATATATTTTATCGTTAGTGCTTCCAATCGACTTTTAAGCGTGAAGTTAGCACAAATTTTTATTTTTGCTTATAACTTTTTTTCCTTAAATTCGGCTACTAAACGGATTGAAGCACTAACAAGCACTAACGAAGCACTAAAAATGATATATAATTCATCGATAGTGCTTCCAATCGTTCGGCCAACTTCACGGAGCTGAATAATAAATAATAATTTAAAAAAATTACATTCAACGATAAAAAAAAATAGGAACTTGTTGTTGTTGAATCCATTATTTTATTTTTTTAAATAATAATAATTTCTTTTTATTTGTAATTGTATGTTTAATCTATTTTTTTCATTTATAAAATAATAATTGAAAATATAAGATAAAAATGCTATAAAAAAACAAATTATATTAAATAAAAAATAAAAAGAATCAGCGCAGACTTTGCAAAAAAAACAAAAATTGGTAGGGGAGAATGGAGTAATCTGGTGAAAATTTTATATGCTGTTATATAAAATTTAACAAATAAATATATTTTTGGTATCGCGTAATTACAGAACCATTACAGAGAAAACAATTGTAGAGAAACTTTTACAGATAAAATAATTATAGAGAATGTCGTTTATAGAGATTTATTTTACAGAGAATGATTTTATAGAGAATTTTTTATAAAGAATTTTATTTAAGGAATGATTATTTTATAAAAAATGTTAATCTATTTTGTATAAATTTGTGTAATTATTATTTAGGTAGGGTGCGCCTGCGTAAAACAGTTTTCTATATCAAATCCTAAATTATGCTATTATTTTTTTTACATAATATTTTATTTCTAAAGATAATATTGGCTGAGAGACAGTAAAATAAATTGCAAGGGTCCTAGGAAAAACATTCAATACCTTACAGTTATATTAATACATCACTGATTTAAAATCAATGAAAGGCTTCAAATTACGGCTAAACCGTTTAACAACACTAATAAGCCAAGAAGCCAGCTTGGGTCAACCGTTTAACAACACTAATCACAAATAAATTAGTTATTGGCTTAAAAGTAGGCTTGAGTCAACTCTTGAGTCTGAGTCAAATTTTCGATTCAAAATTTGACTGAGTTTAGGGATAATCCGGCATGGCAGCCAAGAAGCCGGTTTGGCTCAGCTGTTTAACAACACTAGTAAGCCAAGAAGCGGGTTTGGATCAGCCGTTTAACAACAGTAATCACAAATAAATAAATTTCGGCTTGAGCTAACGGCTTGAGCTAAGGGCTTGAGCCTACAGCTTGAGCTAACGGCTTAAGCCAGGCTTGAGCCAACTGAGCCGGCTTGAGCCAACTCCTGAGCCGACTCGAGCAAGCAAACTCAGCCGGCTCAATGAGCCGGCTTGAGTCTGAGTCTAATTTTTGGCTCAAAAACTGGCTGAGTTTAGGGCTAAGCCGGCTTGACTCAGTTTTTTAACAACACTAAATTGAATAACCTATTATAAAATAAAGTTTTTATCAATTCAAGGGTTTATGCAGTCTCATTTTAATGTTGAAACACTTAATGAAAAGTATGCAATATTAATTTTGTCACATCAATACAAAAAATTGATGACAAAAAATATTTTTTATTAGCTAATATTAGAAAATCTTTATACTTTTTAAATCATTTTAAAATAACAATATAAGTAAATTATAAATTAAAGCTAACACTTGTGATTCAGTGAGATGTATAATACATCATTAAGCAGTGAATTAGTCTCGGAAATTAATAATGAAAAGATATTAATGAATCTAATCAATAATCCAAATTTGACCTGGGAAAAGGCATCAAATCATTATATGGATGGAGACACGGAAACAATAACCTCTACAAAATATCTGCAGGAAATGAAATAAAATATCTAAAATGGTGACAAGAGAGAGGTATGACATATAAACCAATATCAATAGTAATTTATTATTGTTGGGTGTTAGAACCATAAAAAAACTAAAGTGGCCCTGCCCAAATTTAAATGCAATTTGTTATACGCAATAACAAAAGACATTTACATAAAGTATGCCGAAGGAATCGTGGTAAAAAAGAATTCATTCAATTAGATAAAAGAGTTGCAAGAAAACTTTGAGAAATCAGGTTCTCCAGAGGAGTTGCGAAAAAGCTTCGAGGTAAAATTATTTATAAATAAAATATATATAAATTTTATAATTGACAAAGGACGGCAGTGTCCATTTTGAATGTAGCAGACGTTTACCGTTTAAAAATACCTGTAACAATATCAAAAATTATTTACTAATTTCATGGTCGATATTAGAGGTAAATGTGTATTACCTATTATTTATTAAAATAAATTTGTATATCATGAATTTATAATTGTAAACAATGGTATTAATTTGATTCATGAAAATCTAATAAAAAAAGTAAGTTTGATCTATAAATAATTTTGAATGTCAATGTAATACAATTAATGTGGTTAGGGATAATATAGAGGAAAAATTTGGATAATTATTTATAAAAGAAATTAGGTTTACTTAAAGAGCAGGTTCAAATGTTAAACCCAACCTCAACTTTCAATGTTTTAAAAGCAGACTGATACCATTTGTGTGGAAGACAAAATTAGAAAGGGTATTAAAACGATTAGAATCCATGAGAGTTTAGAAAAAATGAAATATTTAGATATTACTTCTTCGATCGTGCCTGTACCTTAGAAGGATGAATCCCTACAATTATTTTAGGATTTCTGACAGACGGACTAGTATTTTTATCAGAGACCTTCAGAGGTACCATTTGTAGTCGGCCCAGCCCATATTTTTTCGACCCAATAATAAGAGAATAACATCATAAAAATAGTTTGTATTGTACATACAAATATTATAATTTAATATAGATTTATAATATTTTTAAATTTTAATTAATTATAAATTTAGGCCATTTTTTGATTTGTTAAAATTTATTTTCAAAGATTCCTAATGGAGTGTTAATAAATTTTAAACAACTAAATTTCATTTGCTATATATTTTTATATTTTAATTTATTCTCAAATATTATTCATTAGAGAAAAATGAAAGCGAACAAGTCAAATTAATTATTATTATATTGGATATTGTTAATGTAAAGAATTCTCAAAATCTAACTTAAAAGCTGTTAAACAAAGATGTAGGGCAGTTTTTGTAGACTTATTAAAATCATTTTATTATATAAGATAATCATTTATTTTTTGTTCAGATTAATTTTTACCATATATTAATGAAGTTCATATTATAAATGAAATTAAATTTATATCTCTGTTTTTTAATTTTGTGAAATCATTGCTATTTAAATTTTTTATTCTCTTTAACTCTTTTTTTAATATAGATCGAGGATGATTAAACTACTCTTGGAAAAATAAAATTTTAAAATTGATACATGACTATGCTTTATATTTTAAACTATATTTTGCCTATGAATAAAATAAAAAATTAATTTTTTATACTAAATTTATGTCTAGTTTTTTAATTATGATTTAAATATAGAATTTTTTTATCAATTAAAAAATTCTTAAACCCGAGCTGTACTCGGAACCAAACCCTAATTCAAAAATATTTCGCTGAACCGAACACGAACCGAATCCATCTATTTTTTTACCTTAAACGGAATCTGAACCAAACTCTGGCAAAAATTTTGCCAGGTTCGTATCCCAGGGTATAACAGTTCAAACTTAAATTTTAAAAAGGTAAATTGAATTAATTTAATTTAGCAATTGCAATTAAATAATTTGATACGTAAAAAATTCTAATATAAAAAAAATTGCTAAAAATTAGTGAATAATACCTATAAAGAATTATCAAAAATGAGAAAAGTTCAAATAAAGATCAAAAATGACTTAGAGAGATTGAAAAGGTTAGAAATGTATGTAGAAGATTACAATATAAGGAGAAAAAATCATAAAAAGTCAAAATATTGTTATGTAGGATGAAAAAAGAGGAAAGAATTTGAAAAATGACATAAAATCGAGTGGAAACAGTGAAGAAAATTAACAGGAAAAATTTATAAATTATTTTTAAAAAAAACAAAAGAATTATAAAAAATGAGAAGAAAAATAAAAATTTAAAAAATAATAATTTTCCTTTTTTGAATGGGAATTTTTTTTTAATTGACACTTTCCATCTTTGATTAGACCTTTTCCTTTTTTGATTGACATTTTTCCTTCTTTGATTGAAACTTTTCCGTTTTTGATTGGGACATTTTCTTTTTTAAATGGGTAAAAAAAAAATTCTTTCTTACATCATATTTTTAAATATGATTTTATAAAAGTTATTAATCATAATGAAAATTACGATGATATTAAGAACGATACATCTTCTTGATTTTGAACTCTACTGTTCTTTGTCTCATCACAAAACGTCCCTATTTGATGATTAGCATATATTGGAGTACCATTCTAAAAATAATAAAAATATAAGAGCCTCTTTATAAAAAAAAAGTTATAAAATATAAAAGAATCAATAAAAATAAAAATATAATGAAAATATTAATGTAAAGACAGAAGGAAGGAAGGAAGTGTAATGAAACCAAAAGTTAAATCCAGCTCATACAATTTTGACCTCTTGGCATTTGATGAAAAAACATTAATATTGGGAAAACAATAAAACAATAATTTGCTTACGTAATTTTTTATAGACTTTAGTACGAAATATATTTTCTTTTGAATCGTAGGTTCTCTTAAAATAAAGTCAACCTAAATTGTTTTTTGATTTTTTTAATTGAAGAATTAAAACATGAATGTTTTAAGTAAAATCAAACAAAATACCTATTTTGTTTTACAGATTTCTGATCCAAAACCTGATTTTGGATGATTAAAATAATTATTAAATTTTACTTAATTTTCAAAACTCTTTTTCTTTCTAATATTTTAGATATATTTTCATATGAGACACTTTTTTTAAAGATTTTTGGGGAGAAACAATGCACAGATTAAAAGAAGATTATGATTTATGAATCTACTTTAAAAATTATACTATCAAAAGTCGCTGTGTTTCGAAGCAAAATCTAAGTTTTCCAGGAACTCAATAATATTCCCTTCTTAGTGTTTATTTTATTTTATCTATCTATATTATTTTGAATATTTATATATTATTTTTTGTTTTTAATATCTCTTTATCCATTTTACGATATTTTAAATTTAATAAAAACCTTTAATAACTTAAGGACTAAGTTATGAAAATTTCACAAATATTTATTTTTCTATTTAAAAAAAAAATTATTCTGTGCTTTTCGATAAACCTTTTAAAGTTTTCCAATAAAATTTTTCGATTTTTTGAACAAAAACATATATTCTATTTGTACACAAAAAATTGTTATTTTTATTATAAATAATAAAAGCCTAAGCGGATCTATTTCATTGTAAGTTTTCACTATTGTTAAAAAATATTCAACGAAGGGAATTGCTATAGAAGTTTTACATATTTATTTTAATGATGTTCTTTCCCATGTTGTTAGGGGTTTTCCAAAATTTTGTCTTCGATGATTGTTTTACCTGTGATATTTTTCCTGTGGGTTTCCCAGAAGTTTTTTCCCGGTTATTTCAATCACAAAGTTACACAAAAAGCTTATACAATAAATTCATCTATTAGTTTAAAAAAAAATTCCATGTATTACCTGACTGGCATATATCATTAATTCATGATCAGTCACGGAAAGAGGAAAACGCAAATCTTTATAAAATGACCCTTCAATATAATAGGTTGATTGTTTCGCTACTTTACGAGAGTAATTGTGATTTGCTAAAGAAAATACAATATTTCAAAATTGTATTAATGTATTTAAAAATGGCAAATAATCAAAACCTACATTATTTTACAAAGTTCTCATTAGTCCGGGTGCAGGGTTTAACAAAAATTTTCAATTAGGGATTTGAAAAAATTTTTATAAGTAAATCTTTAGTGATTTATATACAAAAAATGGTTTTATATTGAAATAATTTTTTTTTAAATCTTAAATTGTGTTGTTCTTCAAAGTTTTTTTACTAAAATATTGGGCGAAATGAATTTAGCTTTCATATCACATAAATTTAATTGAGAGTTATACTGATTTAATAGCATTATATATAAATCCTGATATTAATTATTCAAATAATAAAAAATTAACAATAAAAGAAACCTATTATCTATGGAAGCAAACTCAGAACAAATAAAGGAGAAATTCAATAAAGTAGTGGAATAATAAAAGGAGCCATAACTATGAAAATCATTAATGATTATCGCAGATTTATTTGTTGCAAATTTATCGGCTAAAAAGAGGAAAAATTCAAAATAATTTGAATTTTGATAACACGATGATGAGAAAAATCAAATTTTTATCATTTAGATGTATGTTGTACTATTATATCAAGAGTCAGGTTTATTGGTCCTTCAAATATATTTATTTATATAGCGATTATTTTCATGTTAATAATGATAAATTCAAGAGTGTGTAAAGTATTTTTTATCAACATTATACATTATTCAGAAATGAATTCTTTATTTATTAAATTGAATGATAATAATATTACACTTATTTAATCATAAAAAATAATCAATTAATTTAGAAAAAAAGCAGCATGTTATGCTATATATACAGCTTTCCTAGCCTTCAATATCATTGCTGTAATTATAAATAGAAAGCCAGCTAATTTCCAATTTAATATTGGACTTGTCTCACCAAAATAGAATAAGTGTATGATAATGTGAAGATAAAATTTTTTAGATAATTAACATACACAACATGAATGACATATTCTCAAATATGCCAGAAATTGATAAAATATATTGTATATTATTTGACCGGTCAAATATCGGTCAATGGTCAAATACGGTCAAATATGGTCAAATTCAAATAAATGTTTTTTACACCAATATTAACTTTATTTTGCATTTATATAATATTATAATAAATCTATGTATAATAATAAATATCATAATATTTTTAATTCATTCTATAGTCAATGTTTCACCCTCCGTGGCAGAGTCTTGTTCCGATTCATATTCAATATCATTATTTTCTTTAATATTTTTAATCAATCTTAAATTATGATACACTCTTACTAATTTTCCTGCTGTAGAAGCCTTTAATCTATTTCTGTTTTTCGTGTGAATATTGCCCCAAACCGACCAATTTCTTTCAGAAGAAGAAGTCGAACTAGGAAATGTTAGTAAAATATTAGCGACTTCTCTTAATGGGCAAGGTGGGCAAAATGCATTCCACCAACTTGAGGCCGAAATTTGATTGTTTCTTATGGAAGTTACAACTTTCCACATATTATGGCTATTAAATATACCGCTTTTGCTTCTGAAATTTACTATATTACTCAAAATATTTTGATTATCACCACCTTGTAAAATACCCAATTCTTGTATTATATTACATGCTTCATCAAATTCAGTATTAGTAATATGCTCCCCTTGATATTGGGGGTTCAATAAATAAGCAGCATTGTGAGCACATGTATTTATATCAGTTTTTCTCTTTTCAAACATAACCTTAATTTTTTTTTCTTGAGATGGAGAAAATATAGAATCATGGCATGATTGTATTATGTGTTTTTCCAAATTAAGCATCTCGTTTTTTACTTGGGCCAAAGTACATTTATCCCCTTGCACTTTCAACAATGAGGTAGCTAAAGGTTGGAGTATAGCTAAAAATTTTAAATTTTTCGTCCAAAATTCTTCGTTTAATATATTATTGGTAATTTCTATGGGACAATTATCACAAACAGCTTCTTCAACAACTGATGCTTTTAGAGCTTTCTTGCATATTTGAATTTGCTCCATACATTTTATTGACGATGCCCATCTTGTTTGGCTAATTGTACTTAATGTAGATGGTATGCATGAAGATTCTTATTACGGGAAAATACTGCAGCTGGTATGTGTTTATTCTTGAAAAATTTAACAATTTTTTTAATTATTGAAATATGGTCACTGAGGCGTCCAATCGTTCAAAATCGTGAAAGAATAACTGCAATGTATGCGCTGCACAACCATAACATTGTATATGATTATAAATAGATTCCGATTTTAGAATTCTCCAGGCTGCTTTCATGTTAGCGGCATTATCAGTAACTAAAGAATATACTTTTACCGGATTCAATTCATGAATTACATTTTTAAATTCCTGGGCAATATAATCTGCCGTATGGCGATTTTCCTCAGTATTTAGAAATTTGTAGAACACTGGAACAGGCGTCATCACCATAAAATTAATAATACTCTCGTTTCTAATGTTGCTCCAGCCATCTGATACAATTGATAAGTAAGGAGCTTTATCTATTATATCTGCAACTCTCACCTCCATATCACCTGACGCTTTGTCTAGAAGATATCCAGCCAGCTGCCTTCTCCTGGGTAATGTGTAAATAGGACGTATTTTTTTAAAAAATTCTTGGATGTAGGGATTTTCAGTGATGTGGAAAGGTAAATTGCTCGCATATACAGCCTTTGCAAACAATTGATCCAGCTCATTTTTTTCTTTGGGATTAATTCTATCTATGAAACCGGTTATACAAGATTGAGATTTATATTTAATCGCCTTGCTTGTAGATTGATTAGAAATAAGGGAATCAAATTCTCCTGAGTCACAAGACAAAATATTGTTCATTTGATAATCATTCTCACTAATTTCACCCAATTCTTCATTAGAGTTAGACTTAGAAGTATTACAAATTACATTTGTGATATTTTTTGTAGAGGTTGATATTTTGGAATTTGAATAAAATTTTTCCTTAATTATAACAGGGCACATAGTACAGCTGCTTAATAAATGTTTGACCATTCTATCAACGTGGGTGATATAGGACATCTTGCAAAACTTGCACACCGCTTTAACTGATTTACCATCGCGTACTTCTTGAAAATGTTTCCAAACATGATGCTTTGGTTTGACCATAATCCCTAATATATTAAAATTTAACAAAAAATGATTTTGATTATTGTAAAGTTAATCTATCTTAACTATTTTATAATTATCGACCAATTATTCCAATAATTTCTTAATATTATAAATATAATATAATAAACTTTTTACCAGAATTGAATAATATTCCGTAAATCTGACCAGAACAATTAAAATGAAAATTAATTTTAAAAACCAAATATAGCAAGTGTAAGTAAAACAAATGAGAATTAATATAATTTATACTCGGCTAAATATTAAATAAAATTTAAATTTATTAAAAAATAAGAATGAAAAAATTATATTATGATTATAATAAATCGGGTATATTTTTTTTAAGAAAAATGAATTGAAAAAAAAAAAGAAGGCGAGAAACGGCAATGATTAGGCAAAAAAATAACTAAAAATATTACTATATTTAGAAAAATTACATATTTATATTTTAATAAAAATAATAAGATTGATAAACATGCTTTTAATGCATACTAGTTAATTATATCAAAATATTTATTCGCCATTAATATTTTAGAGTATTTGACCGTATTTGACCAGTCAAATACTCCTCCGGTCAATTAACCAGTCAATTGACCGAATTTGACCGGTCAATTGACCGACATGCCAACCCTGATATTAATAATTAATTTTATATATTTATTTTAATACATTCTATGAAAAACCCATATTTAAATTGCAAAATAAAATTTTAGTATCTTATCTTGTTTACATTAATTGGTAATTAATATTATTTAATTATTCTATAATTTTATTTAAAAAGAAGTTGTTTGGAGATGGAATAATATTTCTTAAAATATAAGTAATGGCGTTACCCTTTTTTAAGAAAAGGAACGTCATTACCTGCTAGAAGTATCGACTAACCATAACGCGTTTTTTTTGTACAACGATAACTTATTCAAAATTTTTCTAAAAAATATGGGGCTTTATTAAACAACTTTTAAACTTTACAGAGAAAAAAATCTCAATAAAATTATTTATCACAATTCCCAATATACATGCTTTTTGTAATCGTTAATAAATAAAAATTATGTAACCAATAATCTTTTTTAGTGAAAACAATAGTAAATAAATTATTATTTTTCTTCCTTGAATAAACACTTGTTATTTTATATGGTTGGAGTTGCATCATAAAATTTTTATTTCTTATTATTTTTAACTGCCTCCTATATAAAATAAAGATCAATGGACTTGTGCGAACTCGTGTTTTTAAACAACTATAAAACGTTAATTATTTATTATTTTTAGAAAAAATTGTACTGTCTATAAAACTTGAGCCATTTGAGCAATTTGTAATTAATTATTATCAGAAATAAAAAATATTTATATATTTAAAATCACCATTAAATTTGCATTTTATGATGTGTCGATATTTAGTCTTGGATTAAAATTGACAATAAATAATCCTTTAGTCTTTGGTTTTATACCAGATAGTGCACTATTTTTATTATTTTTTTTATTATTTCTATAGTGGATTATAAAATAATATCCAATGTTTGTCTTACAACGCAGGGCATTTTTAAATTGAAAAATCAAGAAATAGCAATATCTAAATGATAATCCTCAAGAAATGTATTTATATATAATATTCTAAATGCCAAAAAATAAAATATAATTGAAAATAACTTTGAATATAAAAATTATATGAATATGATAAGAGAAAATAAAATAAAAGTCATAACTTTTATCTATGTGACAATAAACAGTATAATAATTTTTCCTTTATTTATTCTGATCAGCCTCCTTTACCCTAATTGACCTCGAAAGTCAACATTTTCTCTTGGTCTCGTAGGGAAGATGCTACTTTGCTGACAAGTTCGCTTCTCAATAATATTGATCTTATTTTTTTAATCGAAGATATATTTTTACAGACAAATATACTTAAATATCAATCATAAGCAGGAAATTTACACACTAATTATAGATAATAACATCTTGTGAAAATTATAATCAATCTAAAGGTTTAGTTGCTCACTTTCATAGTTTAAATATCTCATTCAGAATCAGTATCTGATAAATACGGCTAAATTTATTTATTTTAAATATTTTAATATTATAATTAAATTAAAATAGTCAGAAATATGTTCTTTGGGTTTAAATGTTTAAATTACTAGTATGGCCCACGTTGATATAATCTTTAACATTTGCAATTATATCCTTTTTTAGAGCTATTAAGCGGTGCAACCTGCTGTTAGTTAAGTCTGTTAGAATAGAATGACTTTCAATCTTGAATGGCTGATCGTCAATTTCCATCATGCCTTGCTTATCTCCCGATAAATTTTTATTTATAAAATATAAATCTTAATTATATTTTTTATTAAAAATACATAAACAACAATATTATAGTGACAAGTATATAATATTTAATTAAATTATTCGTATAAATTACCAGCGTATCCTTCTTTATGTCCTTTACAAAAAAACCCACTGGATGGTTCTCGTAGTATCCTCTATAAAATTTAAAATTTTCAGGGTTGGAATACTCGATTTTTTCCCCATTCCTATCTTCTATGTAAAAATCAGGGCTCAATACGTTATCCGAGGGGTATAATTTCAAATTTACATGCGTATCTTTTGTCTCCTGAATAATTTTTAAATCCTCGGGCGTCACTATATCGTGAACTGGAAAGGCATTTCCTTGTATATGCAAAAATGTGTGAGTCCATTGATGACCACAACTTGCTAAAATAGATATAATTTTAATGATGTATAATCATTAGCACTTCGCCTATTGCTATTTAGCCTAAAAGTGCCAAAAGACCAAATTTAATAACAAAATAATCAAATTTATTAATAAGTGAGATAAATTAGAAAATTTAATTATAAATGATAAAAGTATACTAGTAAATTAGCAAAATGACGTTTCTCCAAAAAGCGCCAAATGGTACCAAATCGTAGTAAATCGCTAATTTATTAATAAATAAGCAAATGCGAAAGTAAAATTGATTGAAAATTTAATAGAAATAAAGCATAAATACTAGCAAATTAAAAAAAAACCCATTTCACTTAAAAACGACAAAAAGTGCCAAAGGACCAAATTTAATAGTAAATTTAAATAATAAATGAGCAAATGCAAAAGTAAATTAGAAAATTTAATAATAAACGAACAAAAATATACTATTAAATTATATTTAAAATATATATAAAATGATAGCTAAGGCCCGAAGAGGAATAAACGAATCGCATAAGATTTCATTTGTAAATTTTTTAAAGGATTATTCTTCGTCTTAGGTAAAAATCTATTGGGCTGGAACATAATATTTGTGTCTATTTTAACCCAGCAGAAAATAAAATTATATATACTATATTTTAAAATTAATAAATCTATAATTATTTATACATTCTTTTAAATTTAGTCCTTCTAATATTATTTCTAGTATTTCAATTAATATTTCTTTAAAAATTCCCTCGTTTTAGGCTATTTACGAAATAACCTAGTTAAAGAGCCCTCTATTCATTGGAGTACGCAGCGGGGGGGGGGGGGGACAAATCCCCCCAAAGCCAAAAAATGCAGATGCCGGATATATTTTTCAAAAATATTTTTGTTTAGAGTGTTGTGCAGATTTAATTTAAACATTTCCATATTTTTTAATTCGTTTGTAAATAAAAATTTTAACTTGTAAAAATTGATAAGAATATATAAATATGTTATTTTAACAACTTTTTACAAGTCAAATAATTTTATTTTCAAATAAATTAATAAATATGGAAATGTTTTGAATTAAATTTACACAGTACATATTAATTTATATTTGTTAATATTTATTCCTATCTCATATTAAATATATATTTAATTACATTTATTATCACATTCATAACTAAGTTTATCAATTAATTTCGATTTCAAGTTTTCCGGCGTAATATTATCTTATTACTTTCAAATTTTTAGTGGCGTAATATTTATCTATCATTTTTAAATTTCTAGTCAAATAATAATTATTCTGAAATTGTCCGACAGGGAGAAAAAAATCGCAACCTTGTCCTACGAGATAGAGTTTCCGCCATAGCAGTAACACAGCTTTTATGGAGTTAGAAGAGCCGATTATTTGCTATTACTGACATATCACAATGGCCTGAAAGAAATTTTTCCTTAGAAGCAAGAAAATTATTGGATTCAATGCTTATTCCAAATTTTTTATCTCATTAGAATGTACAACTATTTTATGTATTATTGACTTGATTAATAAGATGAGAATAGCGGAGAGCATTTTATTAGAATTCAAGGAAATTAGGGCTAATGTTTATGAAGAATTTCATGTTTTATATGTTATTGTTAAGTCAAAAGCAGAGCTATACGTATTTACAGTGGCGTAGACAAGGGGGGGTTTTGGCGTCGAAACCCCCCCCCATGGAAAAAAAAATTTTTTTTTTAAAAAATGTTTTTTTTTTTAATTTTTTTTTTTTTTATAAAATAAAAAATTATTCTTTTTTTATTGCGAATAATTATATTTAAAAAACGGTTTCAATTTAGAGAAATAAGATAATATATTATATATAATACTATATGAATATGAATATCACAATGAAATATATTTATAAAAAAAGAAGTTTTAATTTTAAATGATCACATCGTTTAAAAATATATATAAATTATATGAACTAAAATATTAAACAACAATAAGAATAAAGATATATTGTATTTGTAAATAATTTCTGGCATAGTTAAATTAGAATATTAAATAACAATAAAGATATTTTGTAAATATTTTCTGGCTTGGCATAGTTAAATTAGATATTTATAAATTTAATTATTAAATATATATTTTTAATTTAAACTATTTAGATAGTTTGTTTTGTTTGATTGTATTTTTTTAGCAAGAATTACATATTTTATTGCAATTTTATTTTTTTAAAATATAGTTATTTACATTCAATTTTTAATATAATAATCGTATAAAATTTATATATTTTGAAATTTATTTTTTTATATATTATTAAAATAAAAACATAGTTAAATAATAAATAAAATCTCTGCAAAATATTGTTATATGCAAAAATTTAATTAAAATAATTATTTTTAACATAGAATAAGATATATTGAGTTGATCATAAAATTGGAAGGTTTGGGGGGAGGCAAATTTTTTTTACATCGAATAGATTGAATTAATATACAATTTACTAAACATTGATAAAATTTTCAAAATAATGCTTTCAGTCGCTTATTAATTATAAATTTGGCAAAAATTTTAATTTTAATAAGGGGGTTTGGGAGCGAAGCCCCCAAAAAATTTGTCAAAACCCCCCCCATGGATCAATCCTGGCTACGCCACTGCGTATTTAATATTTGTCTCACTCGACTTGCAGCAAGGCAAGCTCATAGAAAACATTAATATAGGATCAGTAGAAGAGTATATCTTAGATACAAATACAATTATAAACCATAAATGAATGGTTTTAAATTCATTATGCAGCACTTACCCATCTGCAAATATTATTTCCATAGAAGCTTTCCAACCTTTTTCAGATGGTGATAGAAAAAAAATATTTGTTGATCTTATGATGCCTTATTAGCTGAATAACTATGTTTATAAGATTAACTATGGTTGATGCAGTCCCAAAAAATGCTATGGATGTTCTGCATTAATTCAAACACATTTTAGATTATATTCCCAATGTATTAAAAGGGTTTATATATATTAGCAACTCTTCCCAATAGTAAACTAATGAGAGAACATTCTCTTTTTTAAGAAGAATAACAGCCCTGCTGAGGTACCATTTGCAGGCCACGACCCGGATTTTTTTAAGGATTTTTACGTCTAAGCTCAATTTTCAGGCATGGCTCGGCCTTTTTTTAAATAAAATTTTCAGGCCTGATCCGGATTTTTTTTAAATATTTTATATTTATTTTTGATTTTTATAGCTAATAATAACAATTTCAAATATAGGCTGTTTTAAAATATACAGTCCGGCCCGGATATTTTTTTAAAAAAAATTTTCAGGCCCGGCCTAGATGTTTTTTTTAAATTCTGGTCCAGCCCGGGGCCGGGCCTGCAGGTCTCTGAAAAACATACCAAGAAGTACAAATTTTGAAAGTAAATTGAAAGGTTTGGATCTTTTGAATATTCATAGGCATTTGACAACAAGCAAGGATGAGATAATTGAAAAATTAGCTCACAACGAAGATTGGATTTTATATTGTAAATATATAACATACAAAATACAATAATTCCCTAAGCTTTTTGTGTATTCATTTATATTTATAACATTTAAATTTTTTATACTTTATATATAAATTTTAAAGCTCAAAAAATTAAAATTTTTATTTTGGATCATTTAAGTGATTCTTTACATATAAATTTTTTATAATTCACATTAATTTAAAATTGTGTATTAGAAAGAGTTATTAGTCCTAATAAATTTATGCTTGATATTTTTAAAAAACAATAATATTTCTTAAAAAAAATTTATTATCCCCCCCCAGACCAAATTCCTGCGTACGCGTATGCCTCTATTTCCTCCATATACACCCAAAAATTAGAGGCTTAAATAATATTTATTAAATAATTAATGTTCTCTCTACACTAATATAAACGTTATTGTTAACCCTAAGGAGCTATGCCAACGATTCGTACTTTTGTGAAACAAAGTGAGGGAGCAAGCTTAGTAAAGCGAACTGTGACTTATATTAATATTAATAATTATTAAATTAAGAGAGGAAAAATTGGGAAATAATAGAAATTAAACATATTGCTTCGATGTGATAATTATATCTTTTTTAATGGCTAAATAAAGATTAAAATGTGTTGATTTAAAATAATATATTAAATTATATATTTTTCTTGGAACATTTCGGAATTCAACCAAGAAATTGAACCGGAACGGAAAATATTTTTTTGCCGGAACCGCCGCGGGTCCTTGAATATATAGGTATTCTAAATAACAAAGTAAATGACATTGAGCCAAGATGAGAAAATAATCAAATCAAGAAAGAAAGAAAGAAAGAAAGAAAGAAAGAAAGAAAGAAAGAAAGAAAGAAAGAAAGAAAGAAAGAAAGAAAGAAAGAAAGAAAGAAAGAAAGAAAGAAAGAAAGAAAGAAAGAAAGAAAGAAAGAAAGAAAGAAAGAAAGAAAGAAAGAAAGAAAGAAAGAAAGAAAGAAAGAAAGAAAGAAAGAGAAATTTTTTTTAAAAAATACCAAAACTTGTTTAAGATTATTATGAAATATATAGCTAATTATATTTTATTTTTACAAATAATTGTTAGATATTTGTTATTAATATTAAAAAAGACTACTAAAAATTTCAAAAAATATTTACCATTTAAATATTTTTTTAATGGTTCGAACAGGAAAGATCGAAGCGAAGACCGATTTCATAAAACGGACCGGAAAGATAAACTTTTTTAAAACTATTTTCCTTGGAGTTTTTTTTAATAAGAAATATTCTGGAGAAAAAATATTGAAATTAGAAATAGTTCATTATAATATTTCCCATTAGCTTTTCTTAAAAAATATCAAAATATTACCTGTAATAAATATCATTAGGAGTAAGGTGGTCAAACTTCTTATATACATCAGTTAGGCTAATTTAATTTTAAAAAATTTTATTTTAAGTTGTAATTTATTATATATATTTTTTTTTAAAAAAACTTAATTTGATTTTGAAGAGATGGGTGGAAGAAAAATAAACTAAGCAATATAGCAAAAACAACCACCTGAGTAATGAATTTCAATATAAAAAATCTATAATTTGAGAGCAATGTCTGAATTTTTATTTTAATATTTCCATGTTAGAAGGAATTATATAGGCCACTTAACATCCGAGAAATGAATAGATAAATGTGAGAGTAAAAAAATCGAGTTGCACGGTCTAATTTTAACTGAATAAAATTTTGCAAAATATAATTTATATCTCTATGCCAACCTCGATAAATTTGCAAAAAAAATTTGAAAATGAAACATAATCCCGTTTCACACCTGGCTATGAATCGACCTTGTTAAATATAAATATATAAGAAATTACTTATACCTCTATATGGCAACCTCATTTAGAAACATGATATCGCTTGCAATGTGAGCAATGAAAAGATCAATATGGAAATGGAAAACTGAGTGCAAGACTTAATTTTTATATTTTCCTCTTAATATGAAATGGTAGCTAAGGAAGCCCGAAGAGGAATCAATGAATAGCATAATATTTCATTTGTAAATTTTTTTAAAGGATTATTCTTCGTCTTAAGTAAAAATCTATCAGACTGGAACAATATTTGTGCTGATGTCGCGCTCTAACCGCGATATTGCATGGCTCTATCAACAGGACATAAATAAATGGAGTAAAGTGATGGTTATTTTTTAAATTCGAATTTTTTGATTATGAAATTAATAAAGGTATTTTAGGAAATGGAAGATATAAAAGAGTATTGGGGATAATTAAATTAAATTTAATTTTTTATGTGGTAAATAAAATACATGTTGTGATTAACAATTACAAGTAATATATATAATATATATGTGAAAGTAAAAATATGTTAAATATTTTATTTAAGAATGATTTTTACATTATATATCATAGCTTTTTAAAAGATAAGAATTTAGAATTTATATTACTAGGTTTTTTGCTTATATATTATATTATTATGGTTATTTAGATATCTATTGTGAAAAATAAAATTATGAGATAAAAAGAAAAAAAATATATAGAAAATGGAATAAAATAATTGAATATTAATTTTTAAAAAAAGTTGAAAGATGGAGAAAGATTTTTAAAAAATGGAGATAAAAGCGAAAATCGACATTTAGAATGAACAAAGGAATGATGAGGCAAATACAACCAAAACAACAAAATATGGCTTGGCAGAGGGTGATTACTTCACAAATGACAAAGTGATAAAAAAAAAGGAATAACAAGAGGGGATTAAAAAGTAGGATAATTAAAAATTCTCCCCGGTAAATAAATGTATCAAATTTGGAGAAGTTTTAAAATGAATAAATTTGTTTTATATGTCGTTGCTTATTATTCATATTACACACTATATTAGCATGGTGGCAAGGACGGAGAACCAAATAATAAATTAAAAGAAAGATGTAAAATATTAAATCTTAATTAACTTCTTTAAAAAAACTATATAAAATCTAATACTATAAAATAAAAAAATTTCCCCAAAATAATGCCCATCTGACCTCTGCTGGGAAGGGGTTATCTACCCATGACACCATGTCAAGTCAGTCTGCAGATCCTATCTAAAAAATATATAAAATAAACATGCTGGCTTCTCAATAAAAAAAAAAGGACCCCGTTAATTCAAGCTAAGAGAAAATTATATACGAAATATAACAAATAAATAACGCGTATACCGAATCGATAAATGATAAATTCTATCCTAAAAATGATTAATTTTTAAATAAATGATTAAAACTTTCATATAATCATGTGTGTACTATATATATATATAAAAAAAGAATAGTAAAATTTTTTTTTTATTAATGTCAAAAAAGTACGAATCTACTGTTCTATGGGAACAAAAACATCTACATCGATAGAATCACGATATTTACATAAAAATAAAATTAACGACAAAGCCTATATTAACACACAATCTTCCCGATAATATTTATTTGAAATTACTATATATAAACTCAGGGGCTGAATTTAATAATTTTGATTCAATAATAAAAAAACTTAAAATTTTATATCCAAAAAAGAACGTTAACAGTAAAATTATCGAATTTTATAAAGCAAGTCAATTTAAAGACGAAAGATTTATTAATTGGGCAACAAAAATTTGCCAATTAAGCATAGAGTGCAATTATTTAGACTACAGGGTGATAGAAAAAATTAAAATATGCACCTATTCTAAGGATATTAAGTATAAAATAAAAGATTTAGATAAAATTGATGAGATAATAACAACAGGATGTGAGGCAGAAGACATCGACACTAATATTACTTTTGATAAAGTTATCACTAAACTAGACTTTAGGTTTGGTGGATAAACTAAAAGATGAATTCGAGATAAAACGCCAGATATCAAGAAAACGTCAAACAATTGATACCATATGATAACAACTATGTTCAGCAGTGGGCTCCACGACCATATTTTGACACACAAAGATTTCATAGCCAAATCTACTACTTCAAACCACGTAACCAAAACTACATTAGATACAACAATCAAAGCAAATTTGACACTTGTTACAAACCTAATTATCATGATCATCAAAGGCACAAAATAAATTATGGTAATTTCAATCAACATTGCTATGGAAAATGTAGTAGTAACAATAATAGACAAACAACTCATGATGATCGAAACAATTATTATAGCAACCTAGATTTTAATAGCAACAACAGACAAACTTATGACAACCAAAACAATCATTACAAAAGTGGTAATTTAAAAACAATAACAGACAAATTTGCGACAATCAAAACAATTATCATATAAATAATAATTTTAACAACAACAACAGACCAGCATACGACAATAAAAACAACCATAATAATAGGTCGAACCTAAGATTCATTAACAGAAACAACTATGTACATAACAACTACAATACCCACAGAAATCTTAATAACAAAAGTTATACACCAGTCGGCAGCAAGATAAACACCATTAATTTCGAAGAACTGGAAAATGCTAAAACTGATGACGTAAACAGAGAATGACTTACTAAACGTAAGTGTAAATAATTTGAGCGAAGGTCTTGATGAGAATAACGCTTACTTGGTGGTACTCAAACTTAACGGCATAGTGACGACCAGGTGAATACGGATACGAGATACTCTATCATACCGCTTTATATAGCTAACAAAATAGGCATTAAAAACATGAAGAAATCTGATATAAAAGAGAATATAAGATACGATATTAATATTGAACTATTTCCTTAAGTTTAAAATAAACGTTGATAATTACAACCATTTGGCGACTCGTGTTGGCAAAGTAAAATAAAAAATACACAATACATTCCGATTGAAAAAACCAGATGGACCTATTAGAATAATTTGGGTCTGGCTTATTTTTTTCGACCACAAATCCTACCAAATATTATGATAATTCGATCCAATCAAGCAATTTGACCACCAATAAAAAAAATTTTAAACTTGTGACTTAAATTTGACACTTGCCTTATTGCCCGGAAAGGCTTGTCATTTTATGTAGTTGTAAGTAGTAAGGGCGCACGACTTTTACTTAATATTAATGAAGTATCAAATTATAAATGTCCGAAAGCAACGTTTTTTAATATTTTGTAATGTAATAATAAGGCTATCAAAAATTTAACGGGGACGCTAACTTTTCGAAATTAGAATTGGTAGCTTTCGTTCTAACAACAAACCTGGTTAACAATATGTATTTTAATTTTGAAATAATCTATCATTGTAAAAAATTTTATGTTATATCTGTCGTAGTTTTATGTAAGAATTTATATTAATTTTTGCATAATGCCAATCAACCAAAATAAATAAGGTTGATTGGATTATAATTAATATTAAAGAACACGTGATATAAAAAATGTTTTTATAATGTTCGAATAAAATTGTATTTCATTATGATTTTTCTGATAAAAATTGAAAAAAGTTTTTTTATTGGAAAATTATTGTTTTTTTTATAAAATATAGATTAATGAATATATATTTGTTTTGGAGATTTTTTTTGTAAATTGTCCTTTACTAATAAATAATATTTTGTGTAAATTAATTCTAGCTCCTAAAGGAACAATTATAAATTACCGGTTAATTTTAGGATAGGTTGAGAGTAAGGGATTTGTTAAGGGATTTTTGTTCGTTTTTATACGTTTTTTTTCAATATCCTTGTTTAAATTTTATAAAAGTTTAAAAATATTATATAATACAATTTTTAGTTTTATATGTTATATCTAAATATTTCAAAAAGTTTAAAATAAGGATTATGACAAATGTAACTTTTCCAGGTATATCTTTATTGAAATTTTAATTTAACAATATATATTTTTGTCAAAAAAATTTAAAAGAGTAAAATAATAACGATTATGCAATGGTCACTTAGCTATGGTACATCTTCATTGAAATTAAATTAATATGTTAATAATATAAATTAATAACCATTTGTGTCAAAAAAATTCAAAAAACTTGTTAAATAACTATTATGACAATTTTCATTTTTCTATGGTAAAACTTTATTGAAATTTCAATTCAACATGTTTATATTAAATATTTTTACCCTTATGCGTAAAAAAATTTTAAGAAAGTTAAATAATAACGATTTTGACAATTGTCACTTTTTTATGTTACATTATATTTTCAGTAAAATTTTAATTTAACATTTTTTAATAATAAAAACTACCTATTGTGTCAAAAAAGTTAGAAAAATAACGATCATTGAATTCTTATTTTAATTTAACATGCTTATATTAATCCATTTATTTCAAAAAAAAATATCATATAAATAATAATTTGCTATATTATTTTGAAATATGAAGATATTTGAAGATCGTTCATCAAAGATATTTTTAAATTATTCAGTTCAAAATTTTTAAAAAATAAAAGATCTTCAAATTTTATTGAATTCTTATTTTAATTTAACATGCTTATATTATAATCCATTTATTTCAAAAAAAAAATATCATAAAAATAATAATTTGCTATATTATTTTGAAATATGAAGATCTTTGAAGATCGTTCATCAAAGATATTTTTAAATTAAAAATCTTCAGTTCAAAATTTTTAAAAAATAAAAGATCTTCAAATTTTACGATCTTCAAAGATCTCGATCCGATCTTTATCGTATATCTTTGAAATAAAGATTAATGAACAAAATGTGTTGATTTAAAATTAAAATCTTAAATTAGATATTTTTCTAGGAACTTCAGAACGTTCCAACAGCAAAACTGAACCGGAACGGAAAATAATTTTTTGCCGGAACCGCCGCAGGTCCCAAAATATATATGGTTATATTTTAAATAACATGATGCTCAAGAAAAGAAAATATTCAAGACATATCAATTTCATTATGGAAAAAAAATTTTTAATAAAAAAACCAAAACTTGTTTGATTTTGTCATGAAATGAATAGCTTATTATATTATATTTTTACAAATAATTGTTTATTAATATTTAAAGAAAATTACTAAAAGGAAAGATCCGAAGACTGATTTCTTAAAGGAAAGAACACCGTTTTAAACCTTCTTTTCGATCCGATAACATACTATTAACTTTTTAAAAAAAGACCTAGATCAAGTCTATTAATTTTTTTATTGATAAGAAATATTCTGGAGGAAAAATATTGAAATAAGAAATCATTCATTTTAATATTTCCCAATTAACTTTTCTTAAAAATCATCAAAATATTACCTGTAATACATATCATTAGGAGTAAAGTGATCAAACTTCTCTTATACATCGGTTAAGCTAATTTAATTTTAAAATTATTTTAAATAAATATTTTTTCCAAAAAAAAACACTAATTTGATTTTGAAGAAATGGGTGAAGAGAAATAAACTAAGCAATATACTGAAAACAACCATCTGAGCAATGAATTAGTCAATATAGAAAAATATATTAATTTTATGCCTAATTTTTTAGTATAATATTTCCATTATAGAAGGAATTATATAGGCCACTTACCACCTGAGAAATGAATAGATAAATTTAAAAGAGAAAAAATCGAGTGTACGGTATAATTTTTTTAAACTATTTGAATAAAATTTTACAAATATCTCGATGGTAACTCAATAATTTTACAAAAAATAAGTTAAAAATGAAACATCATCGTGCTTCGCACCTGAGCTATGAATCGACATTGTTAAATACAATTATAAAAGAAATTATATATACCTCTATATGGCAACCTCGTTTATAATTTTTAAAAAATTGAAAATGAAACATCATCACACTTCGCACCTGAGCTATGAATCGACATTGTTTAATATAATTATTAAAGAAATTACTTATACCTCGACGTGTGCGCCGCCGGCAATTTTATTTAAGCCGGAAAAGCCGCCGATTGATATGAGCGCTACGGCGGCTGCGCAGCGCGCATAGGAATGCTATTTAATTATATTTATATATTAAATTATTATCATTTAAATTTGAATATTAAATAAAATTAAAATATGAATTGTATTCACTTGGCGTATAATAAAATCGTGTGTATCATTTACATTTCTTCCTATTCATACATTATATTTCAAAATTATACAAACTTTAATTTATCTTAATTTTTTTTATGAACTTACACGTTTTAAACCATCTTTACTCATTGCCAGCTCTAAATGCTATTTTTTGAGTATCTTTTTAATATATAAACTTAATTTATAACTGATTTGTTAAATTAATTACATAAAACTTTTTTTATTTTAATGTTTTTTAAACATCTATCTATTAATATAAAAAATCAATATAAAATATAATAGGACAAAATTATGTTTTAATATGCTGCTTATATTTGATGCCATTTATTCTATAAGCAATAAATGAATAACTGATTTTCTAATGAATTGAAATTAAAATTAAATGATTATTAAAAAATAAATTGTCTATACAAATAAAAATATGGTATTTGATTTCTTGTCAGAATTACCTGATAGGACAACCTAGATGATGTTTATTCATCTATAAAGGCGCCTTTTTAAATCTGATTGATTCTGAATCGAAATTCTCATCTATCACTTTTGATTATAGCAGATCATTTCATGCGTCAAATTATATCATGTTTAGTCTTAGTCATTTGAAAGAAAATTTTGATTTTTAAATATTTTACCCTGGTAACTAGAAAGGTGACGCAAAAATAATGATGAAACCATATTATCTAACATCTACCAATTAAAAAACATAATAATGAAGATGGTAACTGATGCTGAAACTAATTCCAAAAGAAGCGTCAGGTTGGGGGATTAATCATGCTTAGCGTATGGAACTCATACTTTAGTTATAGCTGATGGCATAAAAAAAGCAGAATTTATATTCTGATTAAAAAAAATAGAGAAATTATTTCAGCCCTCAGATATTGAGTATCTGATTTGGAATGTGAAATTGATATATCTGCAATCAATTCATGAGGCAGACCATATTTTGGATATTGGTGATTCTGATCCATAACTTGATGAACAATTTGATATCTCTGGTGAGACTGATACATATATAATTAATACGAAAAGCGTTAAAGTTAAATTTCCCTACCTTCTTTAAGAGCATTTAATTATGCTAGAAAGTATCCATAGTCTTAACAAGATTTCTGTAAATAATATTCTAAATAAAATAGGAAAACAATCCTTATAATTTTTAATAACGAATATGAACTTTAGACATTATTAAATATATTCAGAGAGTCCGTGGAATTTGTTTCTTTCCAAAAGGGATTAACAATAAATTTAGGAATAATTTTATGCAGTAAAATAGAAGCACATATACAAATCAATAAATGATTGCTCAAATATCATTTAATTAAAAGATATGAAAAAAAAGCATGACCATAAGTTTCCAATTATCGAACATCAATTAATTTATTTTATATATATTTTTATTAATAAAATTATATTTTGAACACTAGATATTAGCCGAAACTACTTGATCCGAAACTTTTAGAGCATGATAGAAATACAAGAGTAAGAATTAAGTTGAAGACAATGGACAAACATCCAGTTCACATATAGCTAAAATAGCCTGTAAACATTCCCAACCAAGCAACGATTATAACAACATTAGCAATAGAGAGCAAGAACGCCATATTTTGCTCAGTCAACATAGTATAACAGAAAAAGATTGGGAAAAAAGCGATTGGAACTTTTTATGCTTGCTAATTTAGTAAAGAAGATTCTTTATATACATGCAACCAGTACAACCAGGTGAAGAATTTTTTCCATCGCTGGATTATTAAGGCAAAAAAGACTTTTTATGTATAACGTATCATGATAAAATACCATTTATTCATGACAATTATAATTTAAATTTGATTTAATTTATAATATTTCATACTTTATGTTGCGTTATTTCTTTATCTTATTTTTTGTTATAATCTAATTTTTATTATTTGATTTTTATTATGTGTTATAATCTAATTTTATTTTATAAACGGCGTAACCTTACTTTTATATTACTTTTTTGTATTTCGTTTATATTCTAATTTGGACTTATAAAAAAATGTATATAAACGAAGTGTGAAATGAAAAAGTTAGTTAATAAAATATATTTTTACTGACTCGCACCTCGCGCTATATCGTTAGTACCCTTATTCTTTGCACTTTATATTTTGCTTGCATCAAATTTATATTTTAATTTGTTTTAAATCAATAGTAACTAATGTGTTGTTTATGTGACTCTGATCTTGAGAAATGCAATTCCTTAATCAAATACATAAATTTAAATAGAAGTGAGAAAAATGATTTAAGAAATAAATTGAACTATTATATTTACAATATTAGAATTAAGATTGGCCAAATAAATGTAATATATTGTATTATAAATTAAATTAATTTAAGACTTTTTAAAATAAATAGCACATCACGGCTGCCGTTAATTTATTCGGCTGCGACTAAATCGTACCACCAAACACCGATGAACAAGGTTTTACAGCCATGTAAAGATGATTCTACTGATTGTTTCTGATTTGGACTAGGCATTGCTGTTTTTAAAATCTGTTATGTTTTATAATTTTCTGAAATTACATAAATAGATTTTGTGATTAAAATTAGTATCTAGATTAGAGATCTGCAAATTCTGGCCTATTAAGATTTTTTACACAAGTTTCCTAATCCGACCTGTTAATATTTTATGAAAAATAAGTCCCAGCTTGGCTCATTAAAATTTTATGAAAAGTCTATCCCAGCCTATATATATATTTGAGTATAGATTTTCCAGCCATCGCATTTTTTTAAAATATATATATATATTCTAATAGTGTTCCTAATGTTAATGATATATCTCTTTCCTATGATAATCTATTTTAGCTTATTTTTTGTCCAGCCCAAAAATTTTATTGTCCATAATTTTTTGCTTGAACTGTTATAAATTTAAACTAGAGGCTTTCAGATCTCAAATCTAAATCTCTCGTTGATATTTAAAAACTATTTATAATTTGTAAATCATTTTGTTAATATCTTCTCTCGTTTATTCAAAAAAATTTGTATTGGCATTTAAATATACTTATATACAATAAGAGGACTAGTAAAATGATTATTTGTAAAATAGTTATGAATTAATTACTTAGAATAGAATAAATATAATTTCTGAGATAAAATACTTCCTAAATCAAATTTATAATAATAGTATTCATTATCTTCTTATTCACTATTCATAACCATGTAATTTAAATTATTTTTGTATTTTATAGACCTATATTTTCAGATTTAAATTTGATTTTCTATTTGTAAAAGGTTTAAATTACTTAATACTATAATTGGACAGGGCATCTTGAATCATATTAAAGAGGAGTATCTGCATATTTTTATCTAGATACATGGACATAAACATGGATCTTTTATTCATAAATTTTCATGTTTCAAGTTTTAGTCATATCGATCCAAATGAAAAAAAATCCTATTTTCTTTTTCAAAAATTATATGCTCAATTATTTTTGTTAGATCTGTTCATACAAGTAAAAAATTTATGGCAACCTTAATTGAAAACTTATATGTTAAGGTATTAAATAAGTAAATTATGTAAAAAGTCTCAGAGTAAAAAGGCAGAGAAAGAAATCTGAAAAAGCTTACCAGGTATAATAAATCTCAATCTTTCGATTTACTGTTGTGTATGTCAATCTCGATTTACTGTTGTGTATGTCAATCTTTTATTTTCGTATAATTCTTCACTAAATAAAATATGGAGAGCAACTTATATCAAGCTCTCGTTGATTTAAAGTAAGTTTCACAAATTTATTGTTAAGCCTATTTTATTTAAAAGATGTCCATCAATCACGTCCTTGGAAGAATTTCAAACAATAACTCAAGGTCCTATCACATCTTCTTATACTTATATAGTTTCATTTTTATCTGGAGAACTTCAAAATTTTTTGAATTTGGAGGAAATAATAAACCCAATTGATGGTTTAAAAAAATATGAATTTATTTTATTGTAACAAATATTTAAGATAATGCACATCTTCAATCATTCCACATTGAAACAAGTGCATTTTTGAAAGAACTTGGTAAAAATATTTTTGACATATATCATTATTATAATCGAATATTTCATTTTATTATTCCTGTATTAGTAATTATGTGTATTTTTCAAAAATCTAAACTTTTTTATAAGACAAATAACAAAATTTACTAAATTCAGATATTTTTAAGTTTATGAGAATATTAAATCAGGCCCTATATTTCTCGTTTTTAAAAAAATATTGGTTCAGGCCAATGCTTGAAAAAACCCTGAATATATTATTGTTTTATTTTGTGATTATATTCTTTATTTATATATATATATATATTTATAATTTCCTGAATAAATTAATAAAGGAACTGAAAAAATCCCAATATGTGATATTAGTTCTTTCATCAAGAAATGAATTTTAAAATATTTAACAATTCACGATCAAATATTGCCTATTTTAAATGAAATTATTAACTTTCAAGGAAGAAAAAATTATGCCACAATAATTTATGATAATATACCAAATATCACAAGATGTTTCTTTTTTTCACCATAAGTATTTTTATGGTCAAGGATAGGTGCAACCCAGTTGCAAATATAATTGATATGACAATCTTTTAGATGGCAAATATAATGGTGGGGTGCATCCTAGTTGCAAATATAATTGATGCCATTGACAATTTTATAGATGGCAAATATAATCATGGATAGTTGCATCCTAATTTCAAATATAAATAAAGATATTGACAATGCTAACTATGTGGGAAAATTTATCAAATGTTAAGCATATATAAAATTCTAAAATGAGTAATAAAAATTAATATATAACACCTTGTGAATTGTGATCTAACTGAAATTCTTCTATGAATTCCTTATGATATCAAATCTTCTAGACTCTTTATTTTATCTTTAAATAGATACATACCTAAAATTGTGTCATTTTAAAATAGACAATAATAAAAATATATGATCCTTTACTTATAATTTCAAATTTTTCCTACTTTTATATTATTTGTGATCTAAAATTCTTCCTTATCATATCAAATCTTCAGTAGATTCTTTATTTTATTTTTAAATAATAGATACACACCATGGTTTAAAATAGACAGCTGATATTATTCTAATAAATATATATGACCATTCTCTTATAATTTCAAATTATTCCTACTTTTATATTACTCTAATTGTTTCAAGTTTTTTAGGCAAAATTTTTGAAATTTGACTTTAATAATAAATAAATTAGAATTTAAAAAGTGCTCTTATATTTGTGTAAAATTATATTTCAGTAAATTTAATATAGACAAAAGAAATCAAAATTACTAGAAATAATTATTTAGGGTATTGTATAGGAAAAAATGTTATTGCCTTATTTTGCTTTAATTCTAACATAACTCAAATAACAAATGACAAAATCAAGTTAACAAATTCAATTGTAATAATTTTATTCAGTAAAATTTCATTTACAACTGTAATTCTAATAAAAACATAAATAATTATAAACATTTTATAATTAAAATATAAAATGCAAATTTAACAATTTTCACAAAACCAATGAATTTATAAGGTTTTTTTAAAAAAATTTGACATTTGAAATGAAACCAGGACAAACAAGTATCACACAAAATGGATGCATCATCATCTAAAGAGAGGTAACATTTCTGACAAATCCAGGACTCTGCCATAACCTGTACCCATGCATCATTTGTTAAATATTTATTATTTTAAAATCCACTTCATCATTTTTTAAAGATTGCATATCATTTTTTTTGGTAAGAATGTCATCAGAATTAATCATCTTATTATTATAAACTTTATTCAATGCAGACTATTTACATATTTTATTTATGATCCATTCAGCCGTTTTCTTTTGTCAAAGTTGTAAAAGGTTTAATAATCTGAGAAAAATAAATGCATTAATATTATTTTTTATAAAAGTTACTATGAGTAGTGATTCTATTTTAAATTTAAATATTGTATAATTTTTATTTAAAAATATTATTTTACCTTTAATTTTATGAATTTATTTGAAACCAAGTTTATATCTTGATATGGATATTTTCAACATATACATTAATGATTCTATTTTAAATATTATATTATTTTATTTAAAAATTTTATTTTACCTTTTATTTTATGAATTTATTTGAAACCAAATTTATATCTGGAGGAATAATGGTTGAATTTGTATATGTTTTTGGCATGGATAAAAAAGGTTTCGCCTATCCTTTGCTGTTAAAAATATTATGAATTTGTATGTTTTATTTTGGCTGGTGAAAAAAGGTTGCACACATACTTTGCGGCTGATAATATCTAAATTCTTCAAGTTATAAACTTGGTTTCAAATAAATTCATAAAATTAAAGGTAAAATAATATTTTTAAAATAAAATTATATTATATTTAAAATAGAATCACTACTCATAGTAACTTTAAAAAAAAATATTCATGCATTTATTTTTCTCAGAAAAGTTATTTAAATCTTTTACAATTTTGTTAAAAGAAAACAAGGCTGAATGGATCATAAATAAAATATGTAGACAGTCTGCATTCAATAAAGTTTATAATAATGAGATGATTAATTCTGATGACATTCTTACCAAATGAAATGATATGCAATCTTTAAAAAATGATGAAGTGAATTTTAAAATAATAAAATCATATTTAACAAATGATGCATGGGTACAGGTTCAGCATTTAAAGGAGAAAATTATGGCAGAGTTCTCTTGTCAGATATGTTACCTCTCTTTAGATGATGATGCATCCATTTTGTGTGATACTTGTTTGTCCTGGTTTCATTTCAAATGCCAAAAAATTTAAAAAAAAACCTTATAAAATTCATTTGGTTTTGTGAAAATTGTTAAATTTATTTTTAGAATTACAGTTGTAAATGAAATTTTACTGAATAAAATTATTACAATTGAAATTGTTTACTTGATTTTATCTCATTGTTTATTTGAGTTATGTTAGAATTAAAGCAAAATAAAGCAATAACATTTTTTCTTATAATACACTAAATAATTATTTTTAGTAATTTTAATTTCTTTTATCTTCATTAAATTTACTGAAATTTAATTTTACTACTTGCCTCGAAAATTGAAAAATCATTTTGTTTAGAAATTACATTGTATATGTATATTTTTTATATATAAATGTTATTAATAAAAATCGCGTCAGCTATTATTGGAATCAGCTAATTCAATATTGGCAAAATAAGATTGGATGATCTTCTAAAAATATCGCCCTCTAAATTATTTTTTTAAAAAATCACAAATTTCGATAATAACATGATAAATTTAAGTTGATAATTACTTTTTTATTAAAGCATGATTTCAATTCATTTGATAGCACTAAGATAAATGTTTTATGGAGATATAAATAAATTTCATAGAAAGTAAAAGTAGATATAACCTATTTTATTTGTAAAAATAGATTGCCCTTATACTTCCTTGCTTCAAGGACCTATCCATAATCGCTTATCAACTCATAAGGATAGATTGAAATTATTAGGTATTTATAACTGCACATATAATAATAACTATTTATAAATAGCTCTATTAATTATATTAATAAATCTGTTTAATAGACTATCTAGTTACTGAACTACAAGCAGCAAAGATCTCCTTAGCCAGCAATGATATGGAAATAGATCACAATGATAAATCATCAGCTATAGTATATTTTCAATTCCCCCCCCCTCCTGTTTAATCTATTTTAATTTTATTTTTTTTAATACGCTTTAATAGCAAAATTATTGGATATAGCTAATTAGTAATTACACTTTTACATATATCGCATACCTATTATTTTTAATCTAAATTTAGAGACCTCTGCCCGTGGAAACTTTCTTTAGGGTTTGTTATTCACCCCGACTCATAAATATTTTTAAATTGCCCCCACATCATTTTACCCTACCCACGGGCCAGGGCAAAGCCGATTCCTAAATCTAAATATTTATAATATTTATAGAGCGAAAGTCCGGTAGCCCATTATCTTAGGTTGATGCTGATGGCTCTATCATTTCCTGAACCACAACCAGGCATCAAACCAAGAGTGCTGTTTGCCAAAATTAGAGATAAGGTTATTATTCTTCATATTTTTAAAATAATCTGAAAGCCACAATTTCTGTACATTAATTAGTGTATTATTTTACTTTGTATAGAATATTATTTCTAAACTTGAAAATAGTGTTGATAAAAAGCGCGATTTGGGTCGATTTTTCTGCCCGATTAAGATTTTAGCCGAAATAATATTGTGTAAGCCTCAAGATTTGGCAAAAGTAGAAGCCCAAACCTTCTGCCATCTACGAGCAAAATCAGCTGGCTTACACATCGGACCGTTTTTGTAAATAAACCCGAATCGGGCTTTTTAACAACACTACTTGAAAGTGTTTGTTTAAAATATGAAAAATATTATTTTATTAAACAATTATTACTTGTTTTGTTCTCGAATTTTGCATAAACGCATTTTGAAAAAATTCTTAGCTAGAAGTTTTAAATTTTTTTTTATAATCTAAGATAGTAAAGAACTGTTATCAATGTATTATGTTTACCCATCAAACTTTATTTGATAGTTATATAAAATACTACACAATCCTGGCTACTAGTGTTGGCTTTATTGTCCCGAATAAGAGATTCCACCTCTAATGCAGGCAAATAAAAATATTGCAAATGTATCTAGGGTCATAGTCAAGCACAGGGATCCGAACTGTAACGAATTCTTCTTCAGGTTTTAAGTTCGGATAAAAATACGGGTTCGATTCGAGTTGTACCTTAAAAACCGGTTCTTAGAAATACAACATTATTAGAATTATAACCACATCTTTTAAAATGATGAATCCCTATTCCCCAAAAAAATATATTAAGCCTTATACAATTAAATATTTTCAATCATCTCTTCTGTCAAATTATATTTATAAGGAGAAATAATAAATTCTTTGGTGGGTATTGTTGTTATCGGCCCAATTAAGATTATAATCAAAATAATATTATACAAGCCTGAAGATTTTGGTCATAGAGAGCAGAAAGATTTGGGCATCTATTTCCCAAATCTCTACGCTTATAAAATATTATTTTGGCTAAAATAATTTGGCCGTTTTTAAAAATCGAGCTTTTTAACAACATGGTGAGAACACTTATATACGCTAACCTGAGTGGTTGGCATGATATCAAATAGCCACATACAAAAATATCTGAATACTCACTGAATAACTATCAATCAAAATCGATTATTAATGTACTTTAAAAGAGTTGGGATATCGAAAGGTTCAGACTGGTTTACAGACTTTTTAAAGGTTCGCTTCAGGTTCTGTAAATAAGAACCAACTGTTCCGTTTAAATCCCTGGTCAAATAACATGATAATTTTATTTTTTCTTATGTAAGATACATTTTTGATGAAATAAGCGTAAGAGGTTCACGCTGGGTGGGATTCTTATTTCAGTGAATTTTCGATAAAAGTATAATTTTGTTATTGCACCCTAAACCAAGTCAACATCCATAAATTTTAAGAAACTTAAGAAATTTATTTTTTTTCCTAAATAATTATTTTTTAAATTCTTGTCTTACCATAGCTAAAGGAGCTCATGAATTCTCAAGGTAAGCAGCCCTTAACTCTAGGACAGCCCTTGCTAAAGGAAACCCTGAATGCCGAAGAATGGCGCGAATTAGATAGAATAGTGCACGAATTGTGTAAGGAGTATAAAACAAGAAAAGATTTGTTGCTCACGCGGGTCGATCTCACAGTTGATTCATTCACGTGGTCTCAAAGGCTTAAGGTTTAATTTTTTTATTCTTAAGTCACTTTCAAAGCTGATTTACTTTTAGCAATATAACGAACAAAACACTTCGGATGGTTGCATTTGCATCTTAATACATTTTTGCTTACAAACTTCGTTAAAACCCTTTATATGTGTTTTGTACCACAATATTTTAAGTTTCGTTATATGCATTTTATTTCTAATGTTATTACTTAGCATATTTATTCTCTATTATTTCTATAATTTTTCGAAAGAAAATAATTATTTTAAATATCCTATGATTTATAGGCATATTTTTTTTAGCAAAAGAGCCCTGAAGGCTAAATGCACCTCTCTCTTTGCTTCATTCATTTGTAATTCATAAAAGTTATCGTGATATAATTAGTTAGATCTTATTTGGGCATACACTATGCACTTTTCTCTTTGCCTCTTCTTTCTTTTGTAATGCATGATGAAGGTTAATATTTTGTTTACAATTAATTTTTTATTTTAGTTAATATTTTCATTTTCGCCTATTAAACGGCTAATCAAGATTTCGCTAAGGAAATTATATCTGTGAAGCTTACTTTTAATATTATTTTAGCCCTTTTTTAAAAAAAGTCGGCAAAAACGATTTTAACAACATTCATTTTGAGTATATCCTATTTTTGTATGCTGCTTAATTTTAATTTAATCTTTTTTTTTCCTTAATTTTTTGAGTGGATATTCACTTAACATTACAACATATTTTATTTAAAATAATATTTCACATATATCAATATCAATCACAACATTTCATTTATATCAAAACTAGGGATGTACCGATATTTTATATCGGATCGGATCGGGCCGATATTTCGCTCATTTTAAAATATCGGTTATCGGCAAATATTATAAAATTTTCCGATCCGATATAAAATGGCGCTTTTAACAAAATTTAAAAAAAATTATATCTAAAAAACCATTTATTTTTATAAATAAAATCGAAATACATTTTTATGTTTAATTTTTTTAATAGAAATAATTAGTTAATAAACATTCTGCAATATAGTTATTTTTTTTCGCATTCTGTTTAAAAAAGTGTTCTTTAATCTCTTCAATATCTGTTTTTAGTGATGCTAGTGATATTAACAGTCCCCATCACCGCCGACATATCTCTGATATAAAAAGAAATCTTCGATATATTAATTTTAAATATTAATTTCAAATTTCATAATATATTTTTTTATTACTAATTATGTAAATAGATTAATGTTATTACTTATTATATAAATAATAGCAATTGAATTGAATATAAACTATAACTGACCATTATAATATATTTAAATGACATTGTACTAATAAAAAGTATATTAAAAATTAAAACCGGTATCTTTGCAGAATACAAAATTAGATATGATATCGGATCGGTTATCGGCCGATATCAATTTAATATCTGAAATATCGGATCGGCCTCCAAAAAGTGGTATCGGTACACCCCTAATCAAAACTCAATATTTCTTTATTTCTATGTCACCTGATTAAGTTAAAACAATGAAAAATTCAAAAAAATAATAATCTTCTAGGAAATATATTGACAAACGTTTATATCTGTCAATTACAAACTGACAGATACAACACTACTATTAAAAATAATTATATCACTGTAGGATAAAAAAGGGTTGATAGCTGAGAAATATAATCCCATGAGGATTCTACTAAACAACAAGGTCGCGATAAACGTTGCTGATATTTTGGCTGCCAGAGATGGTACATTATTTTTAATATAATATATTTTAAGATATTTTTAAAAAAATTTTGATCAAAATAATTTTTTTTTACTCTTTATATTTTTTTTTCTAAATTTTAAGGGCTTACGATTATTATTTTTTCCCAAAGTGTTGAATTGCTTGTTATTAGAGCCAACAAATCGTATTGATCGTTTTTTAGGCTTTGTGATTTTTTAAAATGTTTTTTGTTCCAGACTCACTTGGATAGGGATTCCTTATTAACTTCCACCAGGCCTTTTTCTTAATTCTTACGATCACCCATCTACCTCATATTTTTTTGATCTCCCTAGTTGGTTTTCTTTTTCAACCTCATATTATACATTTCTTTAAATATTTTCTGTCTTTTAGCAGAAGAGTATCTATTGCATCTATGCAAATTCTTTTTCCGACCTCTTGGTTTTGATATACTTTCGCAATACACTGTTTATTCTCATTGTTCATTCTTTCCAATTTAGTTTCTCTTACCACTTTCATTGATCACTTCTTATTCCTTCCTAGCGCAGCTTTTGTAAACTATCTTATGCTTTTACTCTTGTCATTATCGTCAAGTCAATTTGAAACTTTAAACCGCTCTGGAACATCGCGCCATTCCTACGCCATCTTGATGCAGAATGTATTTATTTTTTTTGGAAAAGGTGCGAGGGAGTGGGGCGGGTGTGTAATTATATTACCATTTATATCATAATTCAGATTAAAATAATATCGTTATTATAGATTTGTTGCATTTCGAGAAAACGAGCGACTCTGGTGTCCGGAAGAACACTCGGAGTAAAATTAGCCAAATTCTTATAGGAAGGGTAACAATTTTTTTAAATTAATTTATTATGTTTTACACTTTTTTCAGATATCATAATTTTATACCTCATTATTCGTTCCACTAATTAGATGATAACATGGTTCATCAATTTCTAAGACACCTTTTAATCTCCTGACAGTTAAAATTTCGGGTCAAATGTTACTACTCACTCTGTGACCAAGATAATTATTTCTTGCTTGAATTTTTTTTTCATTTATTACAAATAATTTTTACCAATATTTTTATGGCAACATTTTTTAAAAAATATTTTTACACAACTATAAATTCCTCTCTCGTGTATTTGACATAAAGAAACGATTTTTATTTTGGAATTTTTTTTAGCACCTCTCTTAAACGTCGATGAAAATAATGCCTTTACTTTTTTGAGTAGAAGGAACGCCATTCGTTTCTTATTTCAAAATGTAACGAGTAACGCGGTTTTTTAAATAATAGTAACGCATTACAATTTTTTTTCTTAAAAAATATTTTATATAATTCTATCATGTTATAGTCTGAAGAAAATTTGGGTCTAATAATTATGAGATGAGAATATCAAAAAATGCTTCATTTTGTTTATTAAATTTAAAACAATAATCTAATATCAATTATCAATATATACCATGATAATTGGGAACGAATGCCAATGCCCCCAGCATTTTTTATTTTTCTAAAACCATTGTGTTTTATGCTGGGCTTGATTTGATATAAACTTAATTAATGATGGATTATTGTAAATTTCTATAAAAGTATAATATAAAAACGAAGAATATTTTATCATTTAAAAAAATAAAATGTGAATATGGATAGATGCAAAAAAAACCATTTATTAAATCAAAAATTTTTTCTTCGTGTCAAGTATGTTACACTTTGTAAATATTTATATACTTATAATGGTATGAATCAATTTTTAATATTACTCAAATTTGTTTTAAACTTTTTTCCCGTAGGTTCCTGACCGTGGTGGAAGACCGTCAGAAACTCAGGCACCCCCTAAGGAAATCCCATCTTATAAAAAGGATAACCAATCAAATCGTAATATTTATTTAGTCTATTTATTTTTTCGTAAAAATTTCCGTTTCTTTCATTAAAGAGCATAACTAAATCCGGATAAAAATTTCACGATTTATATAACTTTCGTTTCTAAGGATTGATAAGGTTTGGATGAATTTATAGTAAGCGAGATGGATTTAACAGATCATTCAATTTATAAAAATTTAAATTCCAATTAGCTTTTATAAATTATTAACGATATCAAGATTTTTTTACACGCGACCAGCTGTTAAATAGCTGACCATTTTTCCTAATCTTGTTTAAATAGAATATATTACTTAGATTCTATTTGTAACATCTATGTATAAAAAATTATCATCTTATTTTTCTAAAATTATTAACGATGAACTATTCAATCAATAAAAAAATGAAAAACATTTTTCTAAGTCTAGTGGAAATATTTTTTTCCTCTTCTTAATAGATTTTTATTTAAATAAAATTTTATTTGTTCCAGAACATAACCAAAATTTTTCCCACAACAATCAACGAGGCGGAAGTAGAGTTCAAGGAAATTGGTCTGGAAATAATCCGAGTAAATAAAATTTAAATTATTTCCTAGGGGTAATCCAAATTTCTCATTTTTACTCCCTAAGGCATTAAGGAATTTACCTGTTTTAATCTGGTTATATTTTTATTTAACTTCTATTTTTACGAAATATACTTACATGCCTCGTTCTATTTGATAGTTAGTCGTAATTTACAAAAAAAAATTTTATATAAATAATCAAGTTTAAACTAAGTATAAAATGGACTTTATAAAGTAGCCATACATGATATGACTACTAGTGATCTGCATCGGGCCTATTTTCAAGCCCGGCCAAGGCCCGATTTTTTTTAAAAAAAACTTTTGCCTGCCCGGTCCGAACTTATTTTAATATAAAAATTAATTTTTATAATTACTCAAAATAAAAGACATATGTTATATGGCTTCCAGTTCTATAAATAAAATCAAATGTTTTTATTTTACATAAAAAATTTAATATAAAAATTGATAAATTTAAATATATTTTAAAAAATTTCCAAGGCGACCGAATTTTATTTTAAAATATTAGACCCGAGCGCGGCCTGAATCCCGTTTTGGCCGGGCTTACTTTTACAGATCTCTAATGACTACATCAGTAGTATAAATAGTTTCTTCTTTCTTATGGATGGGCAATCACAGGCCAATTCCTTGGTCCATTTTTCTTTCATTGCATTCAGTCTCTCATTTGCATTTAAGTTGAAATGTTTTATTAAAATCACTATCGTAAGTTAGGTTCAACATCTAAAAGGAAAATACCCAATTTTTTTCCCCATTTTGTTAAATGACGATCACTAAAAATAAAAAAGGTCACGTTTTTAAGATTCTATTTAAGAAACGGCTATAATAAAAAAATGTCATTATTCAAGTATGTAGTAAAATTATTTTACTGTCCATAATTCTCCATGGAAAAATATATATAAAATACTTATCGCCAATTGATAAGCTCCTTAGAGAACATTTTTTTAAAAGAATATTAAGTTCCTATATCGTTAATTAAAATAATGTAAAGCACATATATTTAAACTTGGAGTAAATCCGAATTTAATGTAATGCAAGGCATAAAAAAACAAATTTAAATTCACTGCGAGTAACAAACTTGCTTCAAGATCTCGTCGCTATAGGTGTAAAAGTGCTTCCTCGTTTAGCGTTTGCGCCTAAACTATCATTGTTTAAATTGAAATGGTAAAAACGTTTAAAAAAAGTTTTCAATTTCCACGAAACCATTTAAAATGCAATATTTCATTTGAACATAGTTTTGGGAGCAAGAGCAAATATGATTGGTCTATATCTTTTTGGTAATCAATTCTATTTTTCACTGGCCTATGTTTAAATTTACATGGGAGCGTCTCCTGATATAAGGTTTCTAAGTAAGTATTAGTAGGTTTTTGCAACTCTTTAATCCCACTCCATATTATAGATAGTTATTTAATTTTAAGTATATCTCATCCAATTAAAAAAATTTGTTAATTGAACATTCTTTGAGTTGAGCTATTATTTTTTATCATAATAAAAAAAAAAAATTTTAAATAGTTAAAAATAAGTATTATAGTATTCATTTTTTGCAGTTATATAAAATGGTGATATGCATTATTTTTCAAAACCCTGACCCGGCTCGAAATTTTTTTTAAAAAATTTGTCTGGCACGACCCAATTCTGAAGAAATTTTTAAAAGCCCAACCCGAGATCTGTCCGAATTTATTAAATATAATTAAATATTTTTCTACAAATAAAAAATATTGATGCCTTGTTTATTAGCATTTTAAAATATATCAACTTATCTAACAAAAATGAAGGATATCATATTTTAAAATTTAATGGTCGAAATTTTAAAAAATATTAGGGCCGATCCAACCCGAAATTGTTTTTCAATAATTGGCCCTCTCATTTATGACTTATAATTCATCCTGCACATATACCTACAAAAATACGAATCGAATCAAATAATTGCATTATTCATATTCGATTCGAAATTCCGAATCGAATAATTCATTATTCGTATTTGTACGAATAATAAAATGATTATTCGATTCAATTCGAAAATTTTATTTAACCATAAATTAAAAAAGATAGAATATTAAATTTATTTTGTAAAATTTAACTATGGATAAAAGACAAACAAATTTTATTAGCAAGATAATATAGAAGCATATATATAGTATTTTTTTATATAATGTAGTAAAATCAATATAATATTCATATCATGTAGAAGACAAATATACCAACAACAAATTTTTTAAACAAAAAGTTTTTGCATAAAGTAAAATTTATGATTTCTCCATCATCAAACGACGGAGAAATATCTGGTACGCCCTTCATTCTTGACGGGATGGCTACTAGTTTATTATAATTGTATATGTGTTATAAATTGCATATAAAAATAAATACTTTCTTCGTCCATCATAAAACAATTTGAAGTTAATTTTGTATTATGAAGTTATTCGAATAAAAACAGCCGTTAACAACAATTTTAGAAATATAAAATGTTTCTTCATTATTCCACTAGGAAATTTTATTAAATATGAATAATTGCGAATAATTCCGACTAATAATATATGATTATTTTTCAATATTATTATTTTAATCGAATAATTTGATCGAAAAATTATTCGACGAATAATATATTTTCCTTATTCGAATTCGATTCAAATTTTCGAATCGAATAATTCGTATTCGTAAAATACAAATCGAATATCGAATAACAAATAATTCGTTTTAGGTATACTTACACACATAAAAAACCATATATTCTAAATGAAACTTAAATTTCTAGATGATTCTGATGAATCATCAACATCTATCGATGAAAGTTGTGTGGATGAACTTAAAAGATTTATTGCTCATAAAACAAATAACATTGAGAATATTTAGAAGTTTTGGAAGCAGGAAAATTATTTTTCTTAACTAATAACAGCCACGGCAAGTTCTGCTTCTAGTGAAAAGTTATTTTCTATAGCCAATCGCTTATTAGAGGAAAGGCGAACATAATTGAAATAAAAAAAAACATGGACATTTTTCTTTTTTTAAATAAAATTTTTGATTTTTAAATTATAATTATTTTGTGTTATTAATATGGAATTCAAGAAGTAAAAACTATGATAAAATATATTCAAAAAAAGCGTAAAAGTATAGCAATAAAGTCTTGAAAAATTTAAAACCCGTGAATTTTTGGGCTTGATCATAATATTGTTTTTCGTGAGCGGGTGGGTTGGGTCAAATTTTTTTTAGTAGTGATTAGAAAAGGCTCAGTTTTTTTATTGCTACCATGAGTGGGCAGGCCATGAATAAATTAGGTCAGCGCCCATCTCTATTATCAATTTTAAAAATATATATTTACAGGAAATATGGGAGGAGATTTTCAAAGATATAACAATTCACATCAACCAACGCATCAGCATTATGCTACTCCACAACAAAGTTTTTTATTATTTTGCTCGAATACTTAGACCTGTGCGCCGGCCGGCCTTGGTTACGCCGAAAACGCCGCCGATTTTCATATCGGCAGCGCACGGCCTGCGTAAAAATTACTTTCATATTTTATATTTTTTTATTCTAATAATTGGTCAACATCACTATTGTAATTTTTTTAATGTCAATCAGGATTTTGATGAATTTTTATTTTCTACTATTTTAAAATCATAATTATATTGACGTCATTTCTCACAAATTTTACTGCAATTGTTGCTTATAAAAGGCTATTGGAGACGATGATGATTCAAATACGCCATTTTCACAGTATATATTTTTTTTAAATATTATTTTCTCATTTATAGACAATATCTTTACTAAATTAAAATATATTTTTTGTAAAATATAACCTAGCTATAAAATTCAAAACTTCTCAATAAACATTAGCACGAAATTTGTTAAAACACTTGACTTCTGAACATAATATTAAAGCAGATACTTCATCAACGCAAGATTTAAAAAAATATTTTATATCCAAAAAAATTCCAGACAAATTCTAAAACCTCTAAAAAATGGTTTCTAGCAAGAAATTATGTGTTATTATGTTGTGCTGACTTATTACCTTTTCAATCAATTGATAATATAGGAATGAAAGATTTTTTGAAGGTATCAAATTTATAGGTTAGGTGACTTAGAGCAAGAATGCCACAGTTTTCTTGGAAAACGATATTCACAAGATGTGGACGTTCTAAAATTTTGGAGAGAAAAGAAGAGTGAACTTCCCAATCTTTCCAAGCTCGCCAAAAAAATTCTTTGCATTCCGGCGACCAGCACACCTAGTGAAAGAGTTGTCTCTACCGCTGGATTGACGTTTAATTCAAGGAGATCATCTATACGTCCCGAAAATCTAAATAATATAATTTTTATACATGATAATTATAAAATTACGAAATCGATTTTGGATTTGTAATGAGTTTTCTATTAAATAAATATTAAAAATTATGCCGAGATATCTGTAGAGTAGTGGTATTTGTTTTTTTTAAATAAATTATTAAGCAATTAAAAAAATTTATGTTATAAAAATTTATAACTGCGCCGATTTTGTTGATGGTGGCTAAAAATCGGCGCTGCCAGCCGTCGATTAGATTTTTGGAAATTGCGCCGGCCGCCGATAGTTTCGTCGGTGCAAAGGTCAACGAATACTACAATAAATATTTTATTGTGATCTTTAAAATGTAATATAATTATATTATTTTGTCTAGTTTTTTTTTGAAAAATAAACTTGTTATTTAATATAATTGGATCACATTTTGAAATACTTTTATACAAGATGTTTTTATTTCCTTGTAAATAGATTATATGCCTTCACCTGGATTATACAACACTGCTAACAATTTTCAAAATAATACGCAAGGATATTACAACCAACCAAATTACAATTTTCCTACAAATCATCAAGCTAACATGGGAATTGATCCTCAATTCTATAATGGGCAACAACACTCCAATCCTAAAAGAAACCGGGGTGGAGGTACAATTTAAAATTAGGAAAGGTCCTTCCAAAAAGTGAGTCAGGTCTAGACACGGGCGACATAGGCTTAGTACAAGACTTTAATGTATTTTATTATCCATTTTATTAATAAATATCAAAATAATAAATACTTTTTTCTTTTAACTTTAGGCCAATTTTCTCAGCAAAATGAGGGCCACAGAAATCGCTATTGAAGATTCTGACCACAGAAACTGCATATTTATATACTAATATATTATATTTATGTAATATGATTATCATATATTTATGACAATAAAAAGTTTATTCTTTACATATAAAATTAGTCATGGTGTGAGGTACTAGATATGCAGGGTTTTTTTTAAAAAAATTCTTCACTTGATTACTTTTACTAGTGTTGTTAAGGTAACTAGTTACATTTTTGCTAAAAAATAACTGTAACTAGTTATATTTTAAAAATTGTAACTAGTTATAGTTTTAATATGTATGTATAAATCTAAATAAAGGAAGATAATGATTCAGATATTGAATACATTTCAATAGAAGATATAATGCCTTTTTCTGGGATAACCAATTATAATATAAATGACTTCGACTACCTTCCCAGGCATCGAAGATGTTCCTGTCACACATTAAACTTAGTGGCAATACAAGATGCCAATAAAATACTTTTAAACAATGAGGATTATAGGAAAGTGTATAAGGTTGCTATATCTAAGTCAACGTTTGTGGAATACACATAAAAAATCTGGGCCATCAGCTGAGCAAATTATAAAGAGACATTCTCAGCTGCCATATCCCATTGTAACAAGATGGGGTTCTTTTTATACATCTTTATCTAAAATATTATCACTTATAAATGAAATGCCTTTGGATTTCGATTTATTATGTGATGAATTAGAATTGTGTAGATTTACATCACAAGATCGTGATTTTATTAAAGAATATTGCAGTGTAAATTTAAATTAATGTCTTATAAATAATTTACAATTAAAAAAAAATAGATAATTCAACCAGTAGCTAAAGCTATTGATATACTAGAAGGTGAAAAATATATGTATCTAGGTTATTATACCCCAACAATAACACAGATACTTATCTGTCTGGACCTAAAGGTGTTCAAGAATTAAAATATTATCAACCTTTAAAAGATGCTATATTAGCTAGTATTAAAAAAAGGTAACTTAAATTAAATAATTATTTATAAATTAATAATACAATGATGTAGGGTTTTATGATCTTTTTGATAATGATAGCATAATTGCTGCTACTTCATCCACTATTTAAAACTGATTGGCCTTGGATAAGGCAAGAAAAGAATAGATCAAAAAATATGGAAATTTTAAATTTAATAAATACTTTAATACCTCGCGGTGAATCTAACACAAATGGCCCATGTTCGCAACAAACATCATTAGTTGATTTAAAGCGTCAAAATATTATTGATAATGATGAATTTATTGAAAATTTTATTAAATCCAATAACAGCACATTATCTTTATATGACGATTTTCCAAATTTAAAAATACTTTTTATTAAATATAATGTTATTACATCAAGTGCTCCTGTAGAGCGTTTATTCAGTCTAGGGAAACTCATCTTTGGAGATAAACGAGCGCGTCTCCTAGATAAAAATTTTGAAATCCAATTATTGTTAAAAGCAAATAAACATTTATTAAACTCAAATTTTTATGAAAAATAAATATGTTTTTTCTTCAATGCAAATATATAGGATATTTTTATTCGTTGTAAATATAAATATTCTATTATCCGATTTTTTTTTCGGTTTACTTATTTTTTTATATAAATAAATTGTATATTTTTTTAAAACAAATGATTATAATTTGCAGTGTTGTTAAAATAGCGCGTTACTTTTTTCAGTGGCGATAGCTTTAGCTGGCTACGTTTTTTAGAAAATATCGATAGCGGTAGCTCGCTACTAATTTAGAGTTTCAATTTTACATAATCAATACATCTAAAAATTATTAAAATATATATTTTATTAAATCTAAAATTATGATCCTTTTATTTAATTTAATTTTGAAATTTATATTTAAAAATATACAATATAAATCTAGTTAGCATTATAAATCTAGTTATTTGAGATTGTTGAAGATAGTGAAATTTCTTTGATAAATGAGAAAAATATAGATTATCCTTTCCCAAAATTCAAAAAATACTTTAATCTTGAAGAAAAAATTACTGCTGGATAACGGTTTCAATGCAAGAAAATTTTGCCAACCACTGGTAGAGTCAATGCTAAAAGGCATTGAGAAAAGGTCAAAACTTTATTTTTATTTACTATTATACAATTATATAAAATGAAGGATTTATTGCTTGATTAGCCATAATTTAAATTGGCTTAATATATAACACAATCTATAATATTAATGTATAGTATTAATATAAAATTCAAAATTAATAAATTATTAATTACCTTGTATATAATAATTATATTTTTAAAATCTTTATTTACCATAATTCAATGCTATTTTAATATTTTTTTATAAATGAATTTAAATCTCAGATAAATTCAAATTTTGAAAATTAAAAAGGTATTCTTATTTTATAATTATCGCTTTATATAAATTAGATTTCCATTTCTGTATGATGATGTATCGTTCATCCTAGTTTCAAGTTAAATTGGCCATACATTAATTTCACTGAATATAAAGGGCAACTTGATAGGCTGATGGTAACGTTAAAAAATGCCATGCCTAACCACGATACTAATACTATAGCAAGATCGAAACCGCGGCCTTCCATAGACGATTTTTTTGAAATAAATAATAATAATATTATTGAACCTCTAGATGCTTTTTTTAAATCTAAAAATACTCATTTAAATATCTTTGATGATTTTTTTCATATAAAAAGTGTGTTTATTAAATTGAATACTGCGTTGCCCTCAAGTGCTAGTGCTGAACGATTATTTAGTATGGCAAAGCTTATACTTTCTGATCGTCGAGTACAAAATGTTATTATTAATAAAGTGCAATATTAAATTAATTATATATATATATGTAACAAATTATAGTCATGTTTTTATACCAATATTTTATTTGTGGAAATAAAGTTATGTAAAAAATATTTTTTAAAAAAATCAAAATAGCGTAAAAAGTAGCTAATAGCGAGCTACTTATTTGAAAGCGGTAGCGATAGCGCGCTACTTTTAAAAGTAGCGTTTAACAACACTGATAATTTGTATATCATAATTTTTTTATATTAAATAAATTCTTTCAAATGCGTTATATGAATGATGTCAATAGTAACTTGGAATGTAACTAGTTACTATTGAAAAATAACTAGTTACATTTGTAAAATGTAACTAACTAGTTATATTTTTGCCTATGTAACTTGTAACTGTAACTAGTTATGTTTCAAAAGTAACTTTAACAACACTAACTTTTACGATAAATTCTTCTTAAGTATAAAATGCATCTTATTCATACATGGCGGGTCATAAAATGGAGAATATTTGAAATATATAAAATTAAATGGAATAAGCAGTGTATAAATATCTCAGTAAATAACATCAAAATATGAAACTCAAAAAGAAAGTGGATAATAATATTGAAATAATGAATTTGTAAAAATTAGTCTTTAAGCCTAGGGGAAGAGGGCAGTTTTGTAAATAAATATATATTTTTTGGCTCTCAGATGATTGATATAAAACTAAAACCGATATATTAGCTAAATTTCTTTTAAATTGATTTTAAGGCCAAATAAATCTTTAAGGTTTCTAAGATTATAACAAAAATTCATATTCACTCGTTAATATTAGTTCTATTCCTTGTTTAAATGAAATATAAGATTTTTAATACTTTAAAATAGATTTTAAAAAAGAATCAAACTTAGGATACATATCCAAATGTATAAGTAATGAGTTGTATGAATTTGAAGAAAATTCTGTGTATTTATTTATTTTGTCAATAAGATCTAAATTTTCTGTGGAAGGAAACTCGCTTACACATGAATAATTCCGTATGAATTGTCTGATAAGAAGTTAGTGACACTATTTGGACTTAAATTATTATGAAATGTAAGACCTGAGGTTCAATTGGAAGGCCAGCTTATCTAGTTTTAGATATTAAAGGATTGCTTATTCTATATCGCAGAAAAACACGACTCGAATAATTAGAGTAAGAAAGGCAATGCCTATAGACTAGATTGGATATCTAGCAAATATTGAGACAATATAATTGCCATGCTAATGCAATTTTTAATTCTTCATCACTTAATATCTAGACTCTGACTAGGTAAGGGATCATGGTGATGGTCATTATATTTTCATCCTAACCCAGCAAAGGAATATCATAGGGATGCAATCTCGAAAATTTTACTGCAATTAAAAGTTCAGTAATGGTATTTTTTTATTAATGGAAGAGCTCATTATAGAAAGTAACGTTTTCCCGATTCTTCTAAAGCTGATATAAAGAGGATCTGGTAGAGATATGAGTTACTTCACTATATACAACGAGTTTCTCTTGATGGCAGCAGAAAGCTGACCAGAAACTATTGAAGAAATGAATCCACAAGTAAAATCATTAAATTTTAAGTTTAAAGGTAGTTTTTTAAATTGTTTAAAACTTTTATCTAAAACTGATATATTAAGTAAAGCAGCGAAATATCTGAATCCGTAAAAATTTTGGGTAAAAGAAATCCTGTAGACTATAAAAAGAATTGCAGTGTTATTGGTAAATTCTAACAGCATGCGCTGTTATTTTTAGCATCCTTTAATAATACTAAAACCTAATTGTGGAAAGATTTGCCTTGTTATAGCTCTTCCAAAAATAGAACCTACTACTCAAGGTCTACGCCGCCGTAAGGTTTAAACAAAGCAACTACACTATCACCTAGTGTTGTAAAAAAGTCGAGTTCATCAGACTCTGAGTCTTTAGTCAAATTAGTAGACTCACTGAAGTCGTGAACTCGAGTCGAGAACTCAAGTCGACTTAAGTGGTGAACTCAAGTCGTCTCGAATCGTGAACTCCAGTCAACTCGAGTCAAGAACTCAAGTCGACTTGAGTCGAGAACATGAGTTTTCCACTTGAGTCGTGAACTTAAGTCGACTAGAGAACGAATATTTCGCATAGGTGTATAATATTATTTTTGTTACAATTAATTTGTGGTTTTCACGCAAATATTTTAAGCAAAATTTGAATTGATAAGAATTTAAAATCTTCTTTTTTAATTATTTTTTTGTGAATATCATTCTTTTAGTTGAAATCTTTTATAGGTTTATTTTTATCATTTTTGTGAAATATCTTTTTTTTTAGCATATTAAAAGAACTAGTTTAAATAATTTATT